GAATGCTTCTAGGACATGGCCATGCAGCCCGACAAACCTACAACAATCCTGTGATACTGGCCATGAAAGTCTTCGACAATACATAGTCCTTTGATGGTCACATTTGTAGAGACTATCCCATTGTGAGAAATCAGAGTCATTAACAAAGGGACTGTCTGTCCAATTGGGTAAAAGGTAAAGGTAAAGGTTTTCCTTTGACATTAAGTCCACTCATGTCTGACTCTGGGGTGTGGTGCTCATCTCCATTTCTAAGCCAAAGAGCCGGCGTTGTCCATAGACACCTCCAAGGTCATGTGGCCGGCATGACTGGATCTTGGAGTCCTTGTGGACAGAAAGTTAAACATGAGCCAACAATGTGATGAGGTGGCAAAGAAAGCCAATGGGATTTTGGCCTGCATCAATAGGAGCATAGTGTCTAGATCCAGGGAAGTCATGCTCCCCTCTATTCTGCTTTGGTTAGACCACACCTGGAATATTGTGTCCAATTCTGGGCACCACAATTGAAGAGAGATATTGACAAGCTGGAATGTGTCCAGAGGAGGGCGACTAAAATGATCAAGGGTCTGGAGAACAAGCCCTATGAGGAGCGGCTTAAGAGCTGGGCATGTTTAGCCTGAAGAAAAGGCTGAGAGGAAACATGATAGCCATGTATAAATATGTGAGAGGAAGTCATAGGGAGGAGGGAGCAAGCTTGTTTTCTGCTTCCCTGGAGACTAGGACGCAAGGGAACAATGGCTTCAAACTACAAGAGAGGGGATTCCATCTGAACATTAGGAAGAACTTCCTGACTGTGAGAGCCGTTCAGCAGTGGAACTCTCTGCCCCGGAGTGTGGTGGAGGCTCCTTCTTTGGAAGCTTTTAAACAGAGGCTGGATGGCCATCTGTCAGGGGTGATTTGAATGCAATATTCCTGCTTCTTGGCAGAATGGGGTTGTACTGGATGGCCCATGAGGTCTCTTCCAACTCTTGGATTCTATGATTCTCGGGGTTGGTGTTCACCTCCATTTCTAAGCCGAAGAGCTGGCATTGTCCATAGACACCTCCAAGCTCATGTGGCCAGCATGACTGCAAGGAGCGCTGTTACATTCCCGCCTGAGCAGTACCTTGAACTGCTAGGTTGGCAGAAGCTGGGCCTAACAGCGGGAGCTCATACTACTCCCCAGATTCAAACCTGCGACCTTTTGGTTAACAAGTTCAACAACTCAGTAGTTTAACCCACTGCGCTACTGGGGGCTCCGGTTCAATTGGATACCAAGCGCAAAAATGTCTTCACGAAGTTTCTGTTTTGAAATCAAGATGGGAAAAAATCCAGAGTAGGATATGATTGAAAACTTTTGATATCATGAACTCCAAACTTTGCTGTTGGATAGCTGTTCTCCAGTAGTTAAATAAAATGAAATGAATGTGAGATGTAATGGAAGGAAAACCGACCTCTGCCCGAACCGGAGCTGCAGGAGTGCCAGGTAGAAGTATGAACAGTTTCTTACAAGATGGATTCTGAAGTGCTTCAAGCTTCGCCATCTGAACACATCCCATCCGGAGACAATGGCACCATACAGAAGCTGGGCAACAACTTTGGCCTGGAATATTTTCTGGGTTGGAACAGCCAGGAAACCCCCCGCAGTGTTGTAAAATCTAAGGATTGCTCCAGCAGACCTCAAAACGACTGCTCTAGTAGCTCCTATATAGGGCTTCCGGGAGATGTTTTCTATGAAATCAATGCCTGGCTACTTACATTCCCAGCACTATACAATCTTATTACCATTGATGGCCCAGTGAAAACTGGAATTACTTTTTCCAAACACCATCACCTTTGTTTTGATATAGTTAATGCTCGGCTTTCCTTTAGAACAAAATACTCCAAGGTCTTAAGAATCTTAAAGGAAAAGCTATTTTTCAAAGCATCTGAGCCAACCTTCAGGTACCTGGCATTTCAAGTAATGACACTAATAATATGAAACGAGACGTAACTTTAGAAGTTTTCTCTTGCTTAGTAATTTTCCAGTTGGGTTTAATAATTAGTACGTAATGACTGGCTACTATATATTCAATACACTCATGCATATGATTGGTTTTATGTGGTTATATACTGTTTCTGGGAAGACTATCAAAACTTGCGCAAATAGTAGCATTTATTTTTGTTTTAGTGCCAGATTGCGCCGTTGGAATGATGACATTTGGCCTCTTCAAGTCGCTTTGTTGATTTATGGAGATTCCATAAATTTCATAAGGTTTTCTTAGGCAGTGGATACTCAGGGGTGGTTTTCCAAAGCTTTCTTCTGAAAATGAAGGGGTAGATTTCCCCCTACAAAGTATAATCAAAGACTTAGATCTATTACCACAGTAAGCGGTAGACCTTTACTATGTTGGGCATAGGAGCTCTGCTCTAAACTGGCACTGGCATTTCAGTTTCCTCCTCCAAGATGAACTGAACCACCTCAACTGGGCTCTACAGGCCAATGGAGACTCCACCTCAGACATCAGAAGAGCTGCAAGACCAAGAACAAGCCACGAGAGTAAAGATGAAGATCCACCCAGAGGAAAAGTGTTCCTGCCATACATCAAGGGAACCACTGACCGCATAGGGAAGCTGATGAAACACAACATACAAACTATCTACAGACCCACTAAGAAAATCCAACAAATGCTGGGTTCAGCAAAGGACAAGAGGGATCCTCTCACCTCTGCAGGAGTCTACTGTACATGCAGCTGTGGACAAGTCTACATAGGGACCACCAAACGCAGCATTGCCCAAACACGAATCAAGGAACATGAAAGGCACTGCAGACTACTTCAACCAGAGAAATCAGCCATAGCAGAGCACCTGATGAACCAACCTGGACACAGCATTTTATTTGAGAACACAGAAATGCTGGACCACTCTCACAACCACCATGTCAGACTACACAGAGAAGCCATTGAAATACACAAGCATGTGGATAATTTCAACAGAAAGGAGGAAACCATGAAAATGAACAAAATCTGGCTACCAGTATTAAAAAACTCTAAAATTACAACAGCACAACAACAGAGAGGAAACAAACAAGGACATCTAATCACCTCTCAACAAAAGATTCCTCTAGGCACTGTCAGGCCATTATATGCTAATCATTACCTACATCCAGAGAGCACTGTGGACTCAAACAATGATGGATCTGGACCAAACTTGGCACGAATACTCAATATGCCCAAATGTGAACACTGGTGGAGTTTGGGGAAAGTAGACCTTGACATTTAGGAGTTGTACTTGCTGGGATTTATAGTTCACCTACAATCAAAGAGAATTCTGAACTCCACCGACGATGGAATTGAACCAAACTTCTCACAGAGAACCCCCATGACCAACAGAAAATACTGTATTTTCTGATGCTCTTTGCAACCCCTCTAACACCCCCTCGTAGCCCCCTCAGGGGTCGCGATCCCCAGGTAGAAAAACAGTAGGCTAAAGCATCTGGCAATCCTTCATAGTCTCCCATTCAAGTACTGACCCAGTTTAGCTTACCAGGTCAGGTGTGATTTGGTGCCTTTAGGGCAGGCGTGAGCAAACTTGGGCCCTCCAAGTGTTTTGGACTTCAACATCCACAATTCCTAACAGCCGGTAGACTGTTAGGAATTGTGGGAGTTGAATCCAAAACACCTTGAGGGCTCAAGTTTGCCCATGCATGCTTTAGGGTATATAGGTCAAAGAGGTTTTCCCCACTCATTTAGTTGCACATGACTCTTATTATTTTTCGTGGGCTGCACTGCAACCACAGAAATATATGTATTTCTAACTGCATTTGGTTCCACATTAAATTCTAGGAAGAGTAATTGGTGAATTTGTGTTTTCAAAGAAGTTGAAGATAATTCCTCCTCCGTTGCCAGGTGGGAATAGAGATGGATGAGCATTTCCGCTTACTTTGATGACAATTAGTGTGTTGTTCTCTCAGGAAGGGAAAAAACTATTTATTTTTTAAAAAAGACAAATGCAGATGAAAAGAAACGATCATTTTCTCTGTCTCTAAGTGGGAATTCTTCACGCTATAGCAGGAGTGCCGGCTATAAGCAGAAGAGATGGGTTTGGTGTGCATTGACCTTGTGTTTTGGAGTTGTAGTTCACCTACATCCAGAGAGCACTGTGGACTCAAATAATGATGGATCTGGACCAAACCTGGCACAAATGGTCAATATGACCAAATGTGAACATGGGTGGAGTTTGGGAAAAATAGATTTTGACATTTGGGAATTGTAGTTGCTCGGATTTATAGTTCACCTACAATCAAAGATCATTCTGAACTCCACCAACGATGGAACTGAACCAAACTTGGCACACAGAACTCCCATAACCAACAGAAATACTGTGTTTTCTGATGGTCTTTGGTGACCCTTCTGACACGCCACTCGCAACCCCCCCAGGGATCCCAACCCCCAAGTTGAGAAACATTGCCTTAGAGAATCATAAAATCATAGAGTTGGAAGAGACCACAAAGGCCATTTTGAAGATGTCCAGTTCTACCATTCATGTCTAGTTCCAAACAATGGCAGCTGATGCTGAATTTGCACCAGGGTTTAGTCCACACTTCTAAGCGAGGAAGCGGTTTCTTGTCCTTTCTGAGAAAGTCTGCCTCAACACATCTCTATCAAAACCATCAGCAACCACAAACAATGTCTTTGCCTTCTGAAACTACATGTTTGTCTCTGAAATAATTGTAAATAACCCCTGCATCAAGGCAGCAGTAAGTTCTATGAAAGCATTCATTCACCTTGCACACAAAAATGGTTTGTGGATATGCTTTGTGATTGTGTCTTTCAAAACACACACAAAATCTCTTACCAACTTATGTAAAAAGAAAGGGGAAAATAACCAGGTTTTAAAATATCTTCCCTGTGGAAATGAGATAAATAATACATTTGCACTTCCAGGCAAAGACAAGTACAATCGCTACGTCACCGACCACAACTATGTTCTATTATTGACTCAATAGATGGATTTTCCCATTAATTCAGGAATAAGCAACTCACCTAGATCCATGTCGGCAGCTTTGGGCCGATGGGAGCAAGGTACATTCTTGAAGATGGCATCAAGGATCTTCTCCTTGACCTGGTTGATGGTGTCACAGTTCAAGATCTTCACAGGGATCTCAGGGCTGTTCACGTTATCAGGGTTCACACAGCTCAGGACCTGGAGAGGGTTCAGATGGAGGTAGGAAGAAAAGACATCACAAAATTAGCCAAGAAACCAGTTCCTCTCAATACATGCCCGTATCCTCCAACTGCCTGGATTTAGCAGGGAAAGTCCTACTCCATCCTCTTTCATCCTACTTTTTCAGCTGCCATTAATAAGTACAGGTTTCTCTCCACTGACCTGTCCTCTGCTTACCTGAACTGCTGCAAACTGTAAAATGGTTACTGATACTGGTCAACACACATTTTGGTGCCTCAGGGCCCTTCCACATAGCCCTCTATCCCAGAATATCAAGGTAGAAAATCCCACAATATCTGGGTTATCTGAGTCCACACTGCCATATATTCCAGTTCAAAGCAGATATTGTGGGATTTTCTGCCTTGATATTCTGGGATATATTTACTTATTTTATGTAATTTATTTAGAACATTTATACCCATCCTTCTCAACCTCCAAAGAGGGACTCAAGACGGCTTCCAACAAGCAACTACTTGATGCCGACACAATATAATAACATAACATAAAATACAATCTATATAAATAAAAATTGTAATGTTCGTTTGTGGGATTAGCATAACTCAAAAACCACTGGACGAACTGACACCAAATTTGGACACAATACACCTATCAGGCCAATCACTCATAAAAACACAAAAACATAGCAGAAGGGACTTAAAAATAAAAAAAATCCCCAAAAAATTACAACGCATGTGCAAAACCACATATACATTCACAAACACACATATATACACACAAAATACATACACAGAAAGAGGGAAGGAAGGAAGGAGGGAAAGAAGGAGGGAAGGAAAGAAGGAAGGAAAGAAAGAAGGGTAGTGAAGGAAGGAGAGAAGTTGGGAGAGGAGGGAGGAAAGAGGGAAAAAGGAGGAAGAGAGAAAGAAGGAAAGAAAGAAAGGAAGAAGGAGAAAGGAGAGGAGAGAAAGAAAGAAGGAGGGAAGGAGAGAAGGAAAGAAGGGAGGGAAGGAAGGAGACAAGGAACGAAAGAGAGAAAGGAGGGAAGGAAGGAAGGAAGGAAGGAAGGAAGGAAGGAAGGAAGGAAGGAAGGAAGGAAGGAGACAAGGAAGAATGGAACCAAAGAGCAAAGGAAGTGAGAAAAGAAACAGGTAGAGAAGGAAGAAAGAAGAAAGGAGAGAAAAAGAGAAAGAAGGAAAGAGGGAGGGAAGGAAGGAGTGAAAGAAAGGAGGAGGAGAAAGAGGGAGGGAAAGTTTGCCACAGCAATGCGTGGCGGGTACAGCTAGTTAGCTTACATTAAAAACATGTATAAATATACATTAAAACAGCTGGCAGGTCCAAATTGTCATACAAATCAGTCCACTAAAATTTTATCTTCACCACTAAATCAGTCTATTCTGTGAACGCTTGATCCCACAGCCAGGATTTTTGTTTCTTCCAGAAGATCGGGAGGGATGGGGCAGATCTAATCTCATAAGGGAGGGAGATCCACAGCTGAGGAGCCACCACAGAGAAGACCGTGTCTCTTGTCCCCACCAAACCTGATGGTGGTGGGACCGAGAGCAGGGCCTCGCCAGATGATCTTAAGGTTCTTGGTGGTTCATAGAGGAAGATATGTTCAGACAGGTAAAGTGGGCCAAAACCATTTAGGGCTTTCTGAGTATATTTGATCTGCTGCTTTCAAAAATGGCACCAGTTTTCTCCTATTGGCTCTAGTCTTTGAGACACAGAACATACGTCAGATACCAGTCACCCTATAAGACCATGATAACCATATCTAAGAAACTAGAGCTAATGCAGTCTATCTAATGCAATTTTCTGAATCAATGTGATGTTGAAGGCTTTCATGTCCAGAATCATTAGGTTGCTGTGAGTTTTCCGGGCTGTATGACCATGTTCCATGTTCTGGAACATGGCCATACAGAGCAGAAAAATCACAGCAACCTATTTTGTGAATCAGTACCCCCAAATAACCTGAGGAACAGGTCTAAAAATCAAAACACCAAGAATGGGGGTTGGGGATTGGGCTGTGTTCAGAGTTATGAAGAGAATGAGATAAAAGGAAGAAAGGGGGTGAGCTATAGTGATGAGCTTCCAAAAGGACTTAGTTGTAATTTTAATGTAAGTCTTTCCTTTCATGTTTCTCCAGAGTTCCTACACTGGTTTCTTTTAGAAAACCATAACCATATATCTGAAGACCACAAGTACTGCCAGAGGGTATGAAACATCTCCTTTCATCCATCTCAATGCCACTTTAATGCCCAACAGCAGAAACAAAGACTAAATATGATCCCCGTGCCCTTCCTCCTCTACCACCATCTATGGAACTCAAAGTCCTGTTAGAAGTAAAATATAGTTTCTATATGATGAAATAAGTACGGAAATGGAACAAGTGAACTTCCCTTGTTCTCTTCTGCTAAAGAACAATAATTCTTTGAAGAACCCTTTTTTTATAGCCTTCCAAAAAGCATAGCCTGTAATGCTCATTGAGTATCACCATTGTTGCTAAGCAACACAGAATCTGGGGAGCACCAGACCATTTTAGTAGCATCTGCAGGCAATACAGTCCACGTTGTCCTCGTCATGACCTGCTAAACCCCATGGCGTCTGATGCGCTGCATCACAAACTCATAAGAAAGGGATGGTCAAAGTATTGTGCTACTCTGGGCCTTTCCTCCATCTTAGTTCCCCAATCTGTAAATATTCTTTGGCAAATTTTTGCATTTTTCCTTTCCTGATAGTAAGAGCTGTTCAATAGTGGGATACTCTGCCTTGGAGTCCAGTGGAGAATTTTTTTCTGGAGGGTTTTAAACAGAGGCTGGCTGCATTATGAAAATCTTTTCAATAACTTTAAATCATTGCAATTTTCCAGTAAGAGAAAGGGTATCAGAACGTTTACACTTACACAAAGATTGACATTGGACATACAGGCATACAGATTCTATGTAACAACCTACAGTCACACTGGTTAACAAACAAAGGGGAATTGCATTTTTACTCTACATTCACATTACCCATACACATTCATTCATCCTCATTTATACATCACCATTTCTCCCACTGTTTCCTGGAGAAGAACATCTCTTAGGCTAGATTGCTTTCTTGCAAATCTACTAACACACCGTTTCAAAACTTCTAAAATGCCAAAACACATCCTCTTTCCCTAAGAACAATGCCAAAGATCAGAATCCTGCTATCCTATTGCAGACTGGCACTCCAAGGTACACCATCTCCCTCCTTTCCAAGGAGCAGAGCATGGCAGGTGAATAGCACTACTGTCTGACACACTTTTGGAAAATTAGAAGGTCTCTTATATAGCAATATTTCTTGCTGATGTTGTCCCTAAGTTGTACATGATTGATAGATGTTTTCCAGTCTGAAACATGTTGATTCCATCAGTTCCTATAGATGTTGACGCTACTTAATTGGTGTTGGTAAATGTAAGCAGCTTTGTGTTGATGGGCCCGGTCCCGTTCAACATCTTTATTAATGACTTAGATGAAGGGTTAGAAGGCAGGTTCATCAGGTTTGCAGAAGACACCAAATTGGGAGGGAGAACCAATACTCCAGAGGATAGGAGCAGGATTCAAAACGATCTTGACAGATTAGAGAGATGATTGGCCAAAACTAACAAAATGAAGTTAAACAGTAACTTCATCAAGAGGAGCATAGTGTCTAGACCCAGGGAAGTCATGCTACCCCTCTATTCTGCCTTGGTTAGACCACACCTGGAATATTGTGTCCAATTCTGGGCACCACAATTCAAGAGAGATATTGACAAGCTGGAATGTGTCCAGAGGAGGGCGACTAAAATGATCAAGGGTCTGGAGAACAAGCCCTATGAGGAGCGGCTTAAGGAGCTGGGCATGTTTAGCCTGAAAAAGAGAAGGCAGAGAGGAGATATGAATGCCATGTATAAAATATGTGAGAGGAAGTCATAGGGAGGAGGGAGCAAGCTTGTTTTCTGCTGCCCTGGATGCGGAACAATGGCTTCAAACTAGAAGAAAGGAGATTCCACCTGAACATTAGGAAGAACTTTCTGACTTTGAGAGCTGTTCAGCAGTGGAACTCTCTGCCCCGGGGTGTGGCGGAGGCCCCTTCTTTGGAGGCTTTTAAACAGAGGCTGGATGGTCATCTGTCGGGGTGTTTTGAATGTGATTTTCCTGCTTCTTGGCAGGGGGTTGGACTGGATAGCCCATAGAATCAACTCTATGATTCTATGAAATAGATCATATTTATCCATGACAGTTGGACATCTGTCAGGAGTGCTTTGATTGTGTGTTCCTGTATAGCAGAATGGAATTGGACTGGATGGTCCATGGGGTGGGTAGGTACCTTCCAACCGTATGATCTGGTCATTATCCATAAGCAGAGAGGTTATTAAATCTTTAGGTTAGATTAGGTTTTTAAATCTTTGTGTGTTGTTGTCTATATGTGAGTTATATTAATTGTATTGTTTATTTGCTTATTGTATTGTTGAAGGCTTTCATGACCGGAATCACTGGGTTGTTGTAGGTTTTTTCGGGCTATATGGCCATGTTCTAGAGGCATTCTCTCCTGACGTTTCGCCTGCATCTATGGCAAGCATCCTCAGAGGTAGTGAGGTCTGTTGGAACTAGGAAAAAGGGTTTATATATCTGTGGAATGACCAGGGTGGGACAAAGGACTTTTGTCTGCTGGAGCTAGGTGTGAATGTTTCAACTGACCACCTTGATTAACATTTGATAGCCTGGCAGTGCCTGGAGCAATCTTTTGTTGAGAGGTGATTAGATGTCCCTGATTGTTTTTCCTCTGCTGTTTTGCTATTCTAATTTGCTTATTGCTTGTTGTTTTTACTGATGTGTTGTTGGGCTTGGTCTCATGTAAGTCCCTCGGGGAGATGGTGGTGGGGTATAAATAAAGTATTATTATTATTATTATTATTATTATTATTATTATTATTGCCCACTTCAAAACCAAATCCAACATAATGGTGTCGTAACTCCATTCCTATTTGTAGCCTAAGCTTGAAAGGAGTTATCCAAGGGCCTGGACCTATTTTAAGGTGATTGGATTCAGCACCTTGGATAGCTCCTTCACAGTCTGGACTAAAACACAGAGCAGATTCCCTGCCCCATTGATATGACAGCCGTCACTGAATAGGTTCACTTCTAGCTGCATTTGCAACGTGTTGGCAAGAGTTTTTCTGAGTCCCAGAGGGAATGTCTAAATTTCTTCTAATTTTTGGAAAGCAAGACCAGACCTGAAGCCTGAGCTGAGCTCAATCTAATTACGTTGGAACACAGCAGAGGCTTTTCAAAGGTCCCTCTTGCTCCGGCATCTGGCGGGCAGGTTAAAGGTTTCCTTAATGAGAAGGCCTCTGGCTGAACACCAAGATTTGCTTTATTCTTCCCCACCCTCCAAAAAACCCCTCCCTTCTGCTCCCTGTCAGAAGCTAAATGCGAAGCATATGAGCGGAATCTCAGGCATTTGCTGAGCATAATGGAAACTTGGCTGCAGCTTCAGACGTCATTATTAGAAGCCTAGCATTTCATTTTTGCCCCCTTTTAAACCAAAGTGAGGAAACATGACTCCAAAAAAACTGAAATGTACACTCCTTTTAAATTTAACACGTCTTAGAAGAAGAGGTGAATTGGAGGTCTGTACACCTTGCGGTATTCATCTCTTCTAGTTTTTTTCTCCCCCTCTCCTTTCAAGTACAGACGTTTTAAATGTCTCTGATGAATATAAGGTGAATCTAAGCTTTGGTGATCTTGTCTTGGTAGATAGTCACACATGTTCCATTAAGCACACACCAAGGATATCAAATAATTCCTCCACAAAGGATTTTCCCCCTTTGATGAAGCAAATGTTTGGCATAATCAGTGATCATGGGTAAATGATTCCATATCATCTTCGGCGACTGCCCAACAATGAGACACAATCCGAGAAGAAAAGACAACACCAGTTTGGCTTTGAAAAATAAGGCAGGCAGGTCACTTGGGGAGATGAGAAAGATGTCCCCTGACAGTGAGAATCCCTTGTCCATGGGGATGTAATACCAGAGAGATGAAACAGCGATATGATTGACTGCCACTGAATTATCTTTCTTTCAATCCCAGTATACCACAAGGAGCCATGGTGGCGCAATGGCTTAAACCCTTTTGCCAGCTGAACTGCTGACCTGAAAGTTGGCAGTTCGAATCCATGAGATGGGGTGAGCTCCAATCTGTCAGCCCCAGCTTCTCATGTGAGGACATGAAAGAAGCCTCCCATAGGAAAGTAAAACATCCAGGCGTCCCCTGGGCAACGTCTCTGCAGACGGCCAATTTTCTCACACCAGAAGCGACTTGCAGTTTCTCAAGTCACTCCTGACACAATAAAAAGAAGTATACCACTGGAAGACTGAGGCCCCTTCTACACTGCCATATAATCCATATTATTAAAGCAGATAATCCACATTATCTGCTTTGAACTGGATTAAATTAGTCTACACTGCCACATAATCCAGTTCAAAGCAGATAATCCAGATTTTGTATGGCAGTGTAGAGAAAACCTACAACAACCCAGTGTAGAGATTCCTAGAGAAGTATCCTCTCCAAGAAAAACTTACAGCAACCCAAATCTTGATTTTGCAATTTTATGTAAGGGATAACATTTTGCTATGCCATTGTAATAGTAGGACTACTGATCTACAGATTCTTGGGCAATCCTGCAACCAAGCCCCATCAGATATCAAAGACTCACTGTACATTGGTTTTGCATAAAAAAATAAGGAATGGGAGGTTATGTTTTGTTTTTATTTAAAAAAAGAAAGGACTTTTTATATAACAAAATCTAGAGAAAATATCCCAAAATATATTAATCTATCAGAACGCACTAATCCACTCAGCTTCCTGGATGTGGGAATGAAATCACCAGATCTCCCCCTTTCCTGTTTCCATGTTTAGGTACACTGATCATGTTCCATCATCACTCACCAAGGTCTTGTAGTCTATCTGTTGCCGTATGAGCTTGTCTTCACTGAGGGAGTATCGGGCTTCTCCGGTGATGGCATCAATTGGTCCCTTCTCCATTTGTTGCTTGATGGCACAAAACAGGGAGAAAAGGGGCTCACCTGCACATTCCTGTTGCAGTGAAAGAGAAAAGAGTTAGTGAGAAAGGAACAGAAAGGGATACCTTAAATGTTGCAAGGAATGAGGAAGAAATGTATTCAGTTCAATGGCGAGTCTCATCTTCCATGTCAGTGTAGATGTTGAATCCACCACAGATTCTAGTCTAGAGCTATCAAAATATTGAATCTCACCAGAGGTTTGGAGATGGGCAAGCAAGATGATCAAAAATCTGGAAACCTAGGAAGCTAGGTATGTTTAGTACAGAGAGGAAAGCTCTAAGAGGTGACACAACTATTCTTAATGGTAGTCAAGTTGACTTTGACTGGTGACAACTCTACAAATGAGAGACCTCCAGGTCACCCAAACATCAATCACCTTGCTCTGGTCTTGTGGTCTCATGTCTAAGGCTTGTCTTCCTTTAGAATTAGGTCTTCCTCTTTTTCTACTACCTTCTACCCTAAAAAGAATTATCTTCTATCCTAGTGAGTCATCTCTTCTCATGATAGGACCAAAGGTTGACAGCCTCAGCTTAGTCATCTTGGATTCTAGGGAGTGTTCAGGGTTCATTTATTTGTCTTTTTATTAGTCCAGAGTAGCCACAGGACCTTTCTCCAGCATCACAACTCAAATGATCTGACTTTCTTCCTATCAGTGGCATAATAACTAACTTTCAATATCCAAAAGAATGTCATAGAATCATAGAATCAAAGAGTTGGAAGAGACCTCATGGGCCATCCAGTCCAACCCCCTGCCAAGAAGCAGGAATATTGCATTCAAATCACCCCTGACAGATGGCCATCCAGCCTCTGCTTAAAAGCTTTCAAGGAAGGAGCCTCCACCACACTCTGGGACATGTCAGGCGGAAGATGGAGCCAGGATGTTTTCTGCTGCTCCAAAGACTAGAATATGAATGGACGGATCCAAATTAGAAGACCAGGGATTCCATTTAAATATTAGAAAAAACATTTGTAATAAAAACCCGCTTAACAATGAGAGAGACTGCAAAAAACATGGTGGATTCTACCATATTTTAGGATGTCCTTGGAATTTGATACATACACAGTTGTCCCTCCACATTTGCAATTTTGCTTTTTGTGGATTTGCTTATTCATGATTTAAAATATTCCCTCTAGGTTCATTTTAAATCTATGAATAACCAAATCCACTATGATTCTATAGTCAACTTTCTCCACTCATTCTGGAGGACCTAGACTTGTGGTCCATGGACCACCAGTGGTCCACAAGAACTAAAATATGGTCCGTGGCCTCACCTTTACTACACCGTTACAATAAGAGTGACTCACGTAACCTTCTTATAGTGCTGAGGCAATGGGGATGTGGGGAAGGGAAGGCCTGACTACCCACAAAAAGCGCGACAACAAGCCTCTTGACTGGTGCTTCTCCTCCTCCCTCCCTTCCCCTGAATGGAGCCATTCCATGTGGCACCTGCAAGTGCCCCACCTTGGTGTCTTCATTTTTAGGCCTATTCCTGGGGTTATTTGGGGTTCTGATTCAAAAAATTGCATTAGATAGACCACATCAGCTCCAGATTATTAAATATGGTCTTCTGTCTTTGAGCAGATGATGACTACTGGATGGTGTATGTTCTGTACCAGAAACTAGAACTGATGTGGTCTATCCAATGCAATTTTTTGAATCAGCACCCCCAAATAACCAAACCAAATCTAAAGTTGACCAAAAACTGATTTCTAACCATTTTGGTACTAATGTTGGAGAGTGGTCCCTGGTCAAAAAAAAGTTGGGAACTACTGACCTAGAGAAAGCACATCTCTAGGAATCTCCAAGTCTTCCGATGCAATCCTATTGCCAGCTTCCAGTGGAAATATACCATGGAGTCATGGTGGAATACACAGAAATTCCCAAAGAAATGTTCTCTCAGATAAAAAATATAGCATTTCTTTCACATTTGTTTCACTTTTATGGGGATCCTGTGCTCCTAACCCCAGCAAATGTTGACTATTATATTTGAAGGGGGTGGGCCCAAATATTATTGATTTCTAAATCACCATCTATACATATGGTTGTTTATAAAAGGCAGAAGGATAGTTCTGGCTTCTAAGAGTTTTCCAAGGTATGATTCAGCATCAGTATGCTGATGACAATGTCGTCTGTGCATATTCAGAAGATCTACAAGCCACTCTAAACACCTTTGCAGAAGCATACACAAAGCTTGGCCTGTCACTGAACATCGAGAAAACCAAAGTGCTGTTCCAGCAGTCACCAGCCAATCCCTCCCCAATGCCAGAGATACAGCTTAATGGTGTAACATTAGAAAATGTTGACCATTTCCGCTCCCTTGGCAGCCACCTCTCCACCAAAGTCAACATCGACACCGAAATACAACACCGCCTGAGCTCTGCGAGTGCAGCATTTTCCGAATGAAGCAGAGAGTGTTTGAGGACCGGGACATCTGTAGGGATACCAAGGTGCTTGTTAATAATAGTATTTATTTATTTGATCAGTCATATGACCATTTCAAAATGGTCATGAGTAAAAAGTACACAACTCCTGGAACGATTCCATCAGTGCTGCCTCCGGAAAATCCTGTAAATATCTTGGGAAGACAAGCGGACAAACGTTAGCATGCTGGAAGAAGCAAAGACCACCAGCATTGAAGCGATGGTCCTCTGCCATCAACTCCGCTGCACCAGCCAAGTTGTCCGGATGCCTGACCACCGTCTCCCAAAGCAGTTGCTCTACTCCGAACTCAAGAATGGAAAACGGAATGTTGGTGGACAGGAAAAGAGATTTAAAGATGGGCTCAAAGCCAACCTTAAAAACTCTGGCATAGACACTGAGAACTGGGAAGCCCTGGCCCTTGAGCGCTCCAGCTGGAGGTCAGCTGTGACCAGCAGTGCTGCAGAATTCGAGGAGGCACAAGTGGAGGGTGAAAGAGAGAAACGTGCCAGGAGGAAGGCGCATCAAGCCAACCCCGACCGGGACCGCCTTCCACCTGGAAACCAATGCCCTTCACTGTGGGAGAAGATGCGGGTCAAGAATAGGGCTCCACAGCCACCTACGAACCCACAAGGAAATCCATAATGGAAGACCATCTTACTCGTCCAACAAGGGATTACCTAAGTAAGTAAGTAAGTAAGTAAGTAAGCGCAGAAGTGGAAACAAAGAATGGTGAGGAAAAGCAAGGCTGGGCAGAACAAGGAGAGAAACCATACTGCTTGCTACATGGTGTTGCTGAAAATCTAAGTGTGTTTACACAGAATAAATCTCCTCCGGCATCAATATGTGCTTAGAATCACCACCTTAATCAATGAATCCCTTTTGCCTCTCCATTATTGTAGGCTGGCTGCACTGTTTGCTCACTCCTCATTCATCTTTTCCTCTTCCAGGGCTCTCTGTTGGCTCTCCTCCCTGAGCCGCTCATCCCAAATTCACTGGTGTCGTTTCAATTTTGTCCTCTGTAAATCCCTGAGAAGATGTCGGTCCCCAGTCAGAGGCAAAAAAAAGAAAAAGTTGGGGTCTCTTTAGCTCCGACACCTGCCTGCCACTTAATTAGCTTATCTCCCGGCTGCATATTGCCTCGCCGCGGCTGCCTATTGCCCTTATCGGCCAGCCTTTTCGGGCGAGAGGCAGGAAGACAAGAAGCCGAGTGGGGAAAAAATAAAATAGCCTATTATGAGAGCAAAGCTTTCTGCGGCTCACCTCTCGCTATCCCCTACTTTCAGCCGGGGAAGGGAATCTGATAGCGGGAGCCACCAAATCGACCTTCCTGGGCCCTTCAAAACTTTCCCTGCTGCAAGAGGTAGCAGATCATAGGCGGCTGAAGGAGGTCTACTTAAGAACATCTTAAACCTTTCACACACTGGACAAATGCAACTTTAATTGGGTTATATAAAGGCTACATGTCCTTCTTGTCAAATGTGGATCAGTGTTTTTGGTCATGAAAACCCAAATCCTGAAACAAGATTGGATCATAAATATACTAGCCATGCCACTACATTGCTCCTTGATCATTTATGCCTTCGCATAGAGTTTGCCCTATAGATTACTGACATTGTGTGACCAACAGTGTATTTCCCAACATACTCATTTTTGGCAATTGGGAATGAGCAAGGCCTGTTGTTTTGACTCCACTAATTTATGTGAGTATTTTCTGTGACAAAGTGGTGAAAAACCATCCAAAAATGCACAGTTGCATGGCTGGAAACCTGCCAATTACTCTCAACTGGAGAACACCTATTGCATCTAGTAGATGATTAGAAACAGAGTTAGTTGCTATTTGTCATTAAGTTGACTTCAATTTATGGAAACTCCATGAATGAGAGACCTCCAAGAGATCTTGTCATCAGCTCTGGTCTTGCAAACCCAACGTTATGGCTTCCTTGACTGAAACAATCCACCAATAGTGCAAGCTCTTTCTTTTCCTACTGCCTTCCACTTTACAAAGCATTACTGTGTTTTCCAATGAGGCATATCATCTCATGATATGTCCAAAGTATGGCCGTCTTATAATTTAATATAATAATTTATATACCACCTAACAATGTGATGTGGTGGCAAAAAAAGCCAATGGGATTCTGGCCTGCATCAATAGAAGCATAGTGTCTAGATCTAGGTAAGTCATGCTACCCCTCTATTCCACCTTGGTTAGACCACACCTGGAATATTGTGTCCAATTCTGGGCACCACAATTCAAGAGAGATATTGACAAGCTGGAATGTGTCCAGAGGAGGGCGACTAAAATGATCAAGGGTCTGGAGAACAAGCCCTATGAGGAGCGGCTTAAGGAGCTGGGCATGTTTAGCCTGAAGAAAAGAAGGCTGGGAGGAGATATGATAGCCATGTATAAATAAGTGAGAGGAAGCTGCAAGGAGGAGGGAGCAAGCTTGTTTTCTGCTTCCATGGAGATTAGGACAAGGAACAATGGCTTCAAACTACAAGAAAGGAGATTCCAACTGAACATGAAGAAGAACTTCCTGACTGTGAGAGACGTTCAGCAGTGGAACTCTCTGCCCCGGAGTGTGGTGGAGGCTCCTTCTTTGGAAGCTTTTAAACAGAGGCTGGATGGCCATCTGTCAGGGGTGATTTGAATGCAATATTCCTGCTTCTTGGCAGAATGAGGTTGGACTGGATGGCCCATGAGGTCTCTTCCAACTCTAGGATTCTATGATTCTATGTGACGCATAATAGCTGTGAGTATTTTCTGTGACAAAGTGGTGAAAAACCATCCAAAAATGCACAGTTGCATGGCTGGAATCCTGCCAATACTCTCAACTGGAGGATGTCCATTGTATTTCTTTGTGAGTAGATGATTAGGAACAGAGATGGTTGCTATTTGTCATTAAGCTGACTTCAATTTATGGAAACACCATGAATGAGAGACCTCCAAGAGATCTTGTCATCAGCTCTGGTCTTGCAAACCCAACGTTATGGTTTCCTTGACTGAAACAATCCATCAATAGTGCAAGCTCTTTCTTTTCCTACTGCCTTCCACTTTACAAAGCATTACTGTGTTTTCCAATGATGCATATCATCTCATGATATGTCTGAAGTATGGCAGTCTCAGCCTTTCAAACAACTCCTACCAGGATTCCAAAGCATTGAGCCATGGTGTCAATCAATTAATTCCATAGTACAGATGCACCCTATGAAAGATATGGGAACTCTTTTTCAATAATAATAATAATAATAATAATAATAATAATAATAATAATAATCCTTTATTTGTACCCCGCTACCATCTCCCGAAGGACTCGGTGCGGCTTACAAGAGGCCGAGCCCAAATACAACAATAAAACAGCAGCAGCAACAACAACACAATAACTCAAAACAAAGCAATAACAATTAACAATACCCAATGACGCAATTAAAAACAATGGCCGGGCCAAATGTAACAATTAAAATTAAAAGTGCTGGGCATGACAAGGTGGGGTGTTTGGAGGGGGATGGGCATGCAGATATCCTGGATCTCTGATAAAGTGCGTTGGGACATAATGCTAGGAGTTTCCTTATTCTGGAAAGGCACACTGGAACAACCACGTTTTCAAGCTCCTCCTAAAAATTGCTAGTGACGGGGCTTGCCTGATGTCCTTAGGGAGAGAGTTCCAGAGTCAAGGGGCCACCACCGAGAAGGCTCTATCCCTCGTCGCCACCAATCACGCTTGCGATGCAGGTGGGATCATGAGCAGGGCCTCTCCAGATGATCGGAGAGATCGTGTGGGTTCGTATACAGAGATGTGGTCATGCAGGTAGGTGGGTCCCAAACCATTTAGGGCTTTGTAGGTAAGCACCTGCACCTTGAATTGGGACCGGAAAATGAACGGCAGCCAGTGGAGCTCCTTAAACAGGAGGGTTGACCTCTCCCTGTAAGAGTGCACCAGTTAACAACCTGCCCCATTGGACAAGTTGGAATTTCCGGGCCGTTTTCAAGGGCAGCCCCACGTAGAGCGCATTACAGTAGTCCAATCTGGAGGTGACTGAGGCATGGACCACCCTGGCCAGATCTGTCTTCACGAGGTACGGTCGCATAATAACACTTTATTTATCTTCTGTCCTTCTTCCCAAGGGGACTCAGAGTGGATTACAGCCAGGCCCGAGGCCAGGATTTTGATTTGCGGGGAGCTGAGTTCGATTCGGCGGGGGCAGTCTGAGTGAAAGAGGGTCTACCCTAGCAAACCTTTTGTATCGTTACCCCAATACCCCCATGCATATGGGATATATTGAGCATGGTGATCAGATCATGATATGAATAAACATAACAGTTTAAATAATGTACCCATAAGGCCTTCTCGTGGACCACCCTGAGAATGGGGGGGGGGGGTTGAAGCCCCCCCCCCCCCCCAGCTACATGCCTGATTACAGCATATAAACCGACACAGGTAAACATTCAATGCCTTCTTACAATGACATACGATAAAACAGAAATACACAGACAGAGGCAAAGGCTTCTCCTTTCATTTCTGGCTCTAGAAGTGGTGCTAATCTCTGGTTCTGGGGGAAGTGCTCTTTCTCCATTTCCACCCAGGAGCCTGGATTGTCTGTAGATACCTCCTGGTTGTGTGGCTGGCATGATTGAATGGAGGGTATTTTTGCCTTTTCCTGCCAAGGCAGTACCTATTGATCTACTCACATTTACATGGTTTCAAAGCTAGGTTGGCAGGAGCTAGGGCTAACAGCAGGAGCTCCTTCTATCCCGCAGATTCGAACTGCTGGCCTTCAGGTCAGCAGTTCGGCAGCACAAGGATTTAACCCATTGTGCCATCTGTGACACACAACAAAGGGAAACATTTTAAGTTCAATGCAGTCCCTCTCACTGTCAAGCAGGTTTTATTACAGATTTTTCCCCCCTAATGTTTAAGTGGAATCCCTACAGGGTGTTTCCATCTCTAGACCCCAGTTGGGATTTTTTGGCCTGCAAGAATCTATATAAATAAAAATTTAATATTCATTTGTGGTATTCACAGAACTCAAAAACCACTGGGGGAATTGACACCAAGTTTGGACACAAGACCTAACAACCCAATGTATGTCCTTCACTAAAAAAAAATGGATTTTGTCATTTGGGAGTTGTAGTTGCTGGGATTTATAGTTCACCTACAATCAAAGAGCATTCTGAACCCCACCAATGATGGAATTGAACCAAACTTGGCACACAGTTCTCCCATGACCAACAGAAAATACTGGAAGGGTTTGGTGGGCAGTGTCCTTTGGTTTTGGAGTTGTAGTTCACCTACATCCAGAGATCACTGTGGGCTCAAACAATGATGGATCTGGACCAAACTCTACACGAATACTCAATATGCCCAAATGTGAACACTGGTGGAGTTTTGGGGAAATAGAATCTTGACATTTGGGAGTTGTAGTTGCTGGGATTTATAGTTCACCTACAATCACAGAGCATTCTGAACCCCACCAACGATAGAATTAGGCCAAACCTCCCACACAGAACCCCCATGGAGGCCACAACAATGCGTGGCAGGGGACGGCTAGTATATTATAAATATTCATCAATATATCACCCAATTTACATGAATCCATCTAATGATGCAGAAGAAATGCCTGATATACCTTGCAAGTGTTTTAAATTGTTCTATGAGCATAATTTGGCGCGTTACTAATAAAATATTAATAAACCTGACACAGAAAATAAACTGCAAATTACTTTGCACTTCAAAATCTCAAGGAGGCACCTGTTCCAAAGTCTGGATGGTATACAGATTTATTTAAGTGCAGTTCCTTTGAATAAAGAACAGAGCCTTATTCAAGCAAATTATACTCAAATAAATCTGCATACCAGCCCCGGGAATTACCTTATTGAGTCTCAAGGGTTCCCCCTCCCCCCCTTTCTTTTTTCCATACGACAATTGCAATCATGTTAGAGATTCTTGGGAAATGAGCAAAGGGCTTTGAACATGGGGACCCTTTTACACTCCACAACTACAGCACTACGATTTCACTTTAACAGCCATGGCTGCATCCTATGGAATCATTGAAATTTAGTGCAGACAGTAGCTGGCTCTACACTGTTAAGTGAATGTAGTTTGACATCACTTGAACTTCAAAGGCAGAGGCATCATCACTCTTTGTCAGTGAATGCTAAAGATGCCGCAAGACTGCAGCTTCCAGGATTCCATAGCACTGAGCAGTTAAAATGGTGCCAAACTGCATTCATTCTTATGTGTAGCTCAAGTATAGACAAGTTTCAGCCCTTTGGGTTCCTTCCCAAAGGAAGGAACCTGGGAAGGAATCCCACTGGAGCATTGCAGCGCACCCAAATACCTGGGAGTCACTCTGGACCGTGCTCTGACCTACAAGAAGCACTGCCTGAACATCAAGCGAAAAGTGGGTGCTAGAAACAATATCATACGAAAGCTGACTGGCACAACCTGGGGATCACAACCAGACACAGTGAAGACATCTGCCCTTGCGTTGTGCTACTCCGCTGCTGAGTATGCATGCCCAATGTGGAACACATCTCACCACACTAAAACAGTGGATGTGGCTCTTAATGAGACATGCCGCATTATCACGGGGTGTCTGCACCCTACACCACTGGAGAAATTACACTGCTTAGCCGGTATTGCACCACCTGACATCCGCCGGGAAGTAGCAGCCAATAGTGAAAGGACCAAGGCAGAGACATCTCCAGCTCATCCCCTGTTTGGGTATCAGCCATCAACGACTTAAATTTAGAAATAGTTTTCTAAGATCTACAGAGACACTCGCTGGAACACCTCAGCAAGCGAGAGTCCAAAAGTGGCAGGCTCAAACCCAGCACCTCAATCCCTGGCTGATATCAAATGAGAGACTCCCCCCTGGGCACACAGAAGACTGGGCGACTTGGAAGGCGCTGAACAGACTGCGCTCTGGAACCACGAGATGCAGAGCCAACCTTAAGAAATGGGGCTACAAAGTGGAATCCATAACATGCGAGTGTAAATAATTTGTATGTTTTTGAATATGACTTATGAATTTTTAAAATTGGGTTTGTGTACAATTTGTCAGCTATCTTGAATCAAGTGTGGTGGAAAACAAGGGAAACAAGGGAAACACAATCCTTATCACCAACACCATCCACCAACACTCCAATTACTGATTTAAATTTTTAAAAAAGACTTGAATGCTCCTTTTGATCATCCATACACCTGAGATATGCACCTGAAGTACCTCTTCTTACCTTGAGGAACTTATAGAGTAAGAAGGTGAACCAATTTGTGAGCATCTTCTCAGCAACAGATTCTGTCCTAGAACGAAATGGAAGAAGAGAAAGAAGTTACCCACAAAGAAAAAGCAATGCTGTTTGTTTTCTTCATGCCCTGAGACATTCCAGATAATCAGATTCTGGGTTGATGTAGGTTTTTTGGGTTGTATGGTCATGTTGTAGAAGCATTCTCTCCTGACGTTTTGCCTGCATCTATGGCAAGCATCCTCTGTTGTGAGGTCTGTTGTAAAGGCACTGCAGACTAATTCAACCAGAGAAGTCAGCCATAGCAGAGCACTTGTTGAACCAACCTGGACACATCATATTATTTGCTGGACCACGCTAACAACCTCAATGTCAGACTACATATTGAAGCCACTGAAATCCACAATCATGTGGACAATTTCAACAGAAGGGAGGAAACCATGAAAATGAACAAAATCTGGCTACCATATTAAAAAAACTAAAAAATCAGGACAATAAATAAAGAACACTCAGAAAATGGGGGAACAATCAGGGCCAGCTAACACTTCCTAACAAAGGATTCCCCCAGGTAGGAAGCAGCCAGGCTTTGAAGCTTAAAGGCTATTCAATGGTAATCAAGGTGGCTAATTGCAATATTCTCATTTGCCTGAAACAGAAAGAGTTCTGGGTTGTTGTAGGTTTTTTCAGGCTATATGGCCATGGTCTAGAGGCATTCTCTCCTGACGTTTCGCCTGCATCTATGGCAAGCATCCTCAGAGGCAGTGAGGTCTGTTGGAACTAGGAAAAAGGAAAGACCAGGGTGAGACGAAGGACTCTTCTCTGCTGGAGCTGGGTGTGAAAGAGTTCTTTCTCCCAGCCTGGACATTATTCCAATATATATATATAAATCCCATTTTCCTAGTTTCCAACAGGCCTCACAATCTCTGAGGTTGCCTGCCATAGATGCAGGCAAAACATCAGGAGAGAATGCTTCTAGAATATGGCCATACAATCCAGAAAACTCACAGCAAATCCAGTGATTCCTGCCATGAAAGCCTTTGACAATACAAATTAGATTCTGGCTCAGAAGTCTTTCTTGGAAGGAGCAAATGTTTCATGCCTGGATTTTGGCCCTTTGGAATGTCTCCATTGAGTATTTTCCTTTTGTTGATGTTTTAGTAACATTTTATGTTAACCACAACTTCCATTCCAAAGAGAGCTGCCCATTTTCAGGTAGAAAAATGAAGCTGTTGGATTCTGGAGATCCTTATCAGTCATCTGGTATGGATTTAGTACTGAAAATAATATTCTGAGACCTACGTAGTGTAAGTCTAGGATGGAAATCATGTCCAAGATATGCAAACATTGCATTATGGATTTGGCGTCTCCTTTTGAAATCATCTCAAGGTTTAGACTAACGCAAAATTGGGGGAAGTGAGTATATGTCTCTGCATACCATGGGCTACTAGAGCAAGGTACTAAGTTAATATTCAGGGATTCCAAGATGTCTCCAAAATGTTGCATTGAGAAGAAAGATTTTGTCAAGAAAGGGCAAAAAATCACACAGAGAGAAATTGTCTGAGTATGGGTGATTTAGATTATTAGTAGATGAGTTATTAATATGAGTTATTAATATAGAGGAAGGAAGGTACATGATACCATTGGTAGGAAAAATGGAAGTCAATTTTTATATGTATTTCAATGGACCTCATCACACTAGAGTAGCGTTTCTCAATCATCTGCTATGGATTTAGCACTGAAAATGATATTCTGGAATTTATATGGTAGAAGACTTGAATAGCTTCTGTTGTAGTTCAGCGTGTTGGTAGCGTTGCTACTCCTGGTAGCAGGGAGAAAAGGTCTGCTCAGAAGTCGGAGGGAGAACAACAGCGGAAACGCATTAGGGAAATCATTATGGCCCCATGTGATACTGACACGTTTCAAGGCTTCTCGGATTGTGAAATGGGGGATGGGGTGGAGAGCAGAGGTGTAAAGAGGGCTGCTCGCGATCCGGAGTCCGAAGGGGAATTGCAGAGGAAGCGCATCCGGGAAATACTTAGTGCACCAACAGAGGATGAGGACTTCCTGGGGTTTGAAAGGAGTTCTGGGTCTGGGAGTGATATGGAAGAGGAGGAATTAGATTGGACCCGTGTGCAACAAATAAGGGACATTTGTAACCAACCCACCTCCAGTGAGGAATTTGAGGGGTTCACTGAGGATTGGCAGCCAGGGACCTCTTGGCAGGATCTAAGTCTTAGCAGACGCTGGCAGAGGTGAAGGGATGGGCGCTTGGATTCAGCTGTGGGGTTGGGGGCAGCTGAGAGCGATGAGGAAAGGGTGGGGAGCTCATCAAGCTCTGATGAGGAACTTTGAGATAAAAGTGGGCTCTGTTTGCATGATACTTTGCAGAAGGCAAAGTGTCTTTATTGGACATAACTCTTTGTACTGCCAAGTCTTGAATTTGGGTCCCTGGGCTACAACTTCGTGTGTTCCTGTTTTCCTGTTCCTTTGTGATTTATTATTATTTACTTTATTTGTATACCGCTGTTCTCAGCCCTTAGGCGACTCACAGTGGTTAAATTCCTGCATTCCAGTGTTTGTTTACCAACGGCTTGACTATGGAACGGTTTGACCATCGTTTTTGGCTTTCTGGACTTTGATCTCTAATAACTCTGTGCTTGAACAATTCCTCGTTTTGGAACTTTGTTTTTCCATCTTCTGTGACTGTGTTTTTGTGCTATACCAACTTTCAAGCGAATTGCTTAACTTTGAGTTTAATCCGGATTATAAAGCAGCGCTATAATCCGGGTTATATTTTTGTTACTGGTATCCCTTTATTTTTGATGCCAAATTACTCCTAGGACTCTTTGCACTGATGTTAAGTGCTTTGAAAGACTATTTTTGTACAATAAAGCTGTGTTTTGAACTCTTATCTTGTGTTTGGCTCTAATTAAGGCTTCTGGGTCCTGACAGCTTCCATGTCAAAGATAGAAAAAAAGCAAGAAAAATTATCCATGGGGCAATAAGTCTATGAAGCAAAAGTATCTATTTAGAAGTGAAATGGTGTTAAGCAACACTGGAATCATTAATTAGATTGTAGTAACTATCTTTTAGTCAGTAGCTCATATGACACCCAATTGCTTCTACGAGATTCTGGATTGGAGAAAATTTCCCTGCTCTCGGGTTTACCTCCGAAGTAGCAACTTGGGGTGGTTTTTGCTCTCCAGGTTTTTGTCTATGAGGTCAGCCAGGAGTTGTTTGAGGACATCTGTGGCATATTCCAGCTTGCTTTGCAGCACTGTCATAATGAGGGAGGCCACGTTGCCACGGTCTCTCATGGAGAAGCTGCGTTGGGACTCCAGGGTCCGAATGAAGGACAGAAGGAAGACTTTGTTGTTGATGAGCTGAGCAAAGAGCTTCAGACCTTTCTCCACCCGATCCTGCCGATATCCAGGGACCTGCCAGAAAAAGAGGGAGCAAAAACAATGAATTTCTTGATCATCAGTCAACCCTTAGATCACAGATGGACAACAATGGCCCTCCATGTGATTGGACTATGATGGCTACTAGCATCTTCTGAGTAGAAATGGATGGAGGTTGCAATTCATCCCCATGAGTATTCTCTACTAGGACAGAGTGTGCTTACCATGGTGATTGCCATACATTGTGAGTTTTGACCAGTGAAAAGTTCTCCTTGAACTAAAGGGAGACCATGTGATCACCCATGAGTATCACCAAACACTGCTTCTGGAAAGAGGATTATCATTTTGGTGGCAACGATGACCCTCCATGTAATTGGACTATGATGGCTACTAGCATCTTCTGAGTGGAAATGGATGGTGGTCGCAACTCATCCCATGAGTGTTCTCTACTAGGACAGAGTGTGCTTGCCATGGTGATTGCCATACATTGTGAGTTTTGACCAGTGGAAAGTTCTCCTTGAACTAAAGGGAGACCAAGTGATCACCCATGAGTATCACCAAACACTGCTTCTGGAAAGAGGATTATCATTTTGGTTGCAACCAATTTTGGATGGGGTAAGAAGAGACTGAACAAAAGAACTTGCCCAGCTACAATAAAGCTTAACATTTTCCGTCAATGGACAATGGGATAAGATCAGAGAAACACCCTTTCTTAATAATCTAAATCATATACATGAAAGTTGTCTTAAAGAGACTTTCCAGATGAGTGGTGACCTTAATACATCCAGATACTTCCTTCTTCATACAATCAAGAGAGAATGAGTCTAACTGAGGATGGATTTTTCAAAAATGAACTTGATTTGAAAGCAACAACTTGGCTTTTTAAGGAATTTGAAAGAGAATTTGTCTTTTTGGAGTGCCAGAGCATGCTTGCCAAATTCTGTTCATGATTTTCACAAAATGAGTAAGACGTTTGAGAAGGAAAACACTCTCAACAAGAAGCCATCTTACCTCCAGGTCTCTTAGCACAGGATGATCTTCAATGCCTGGGAAAAGAACTCTCATCGTATATGTCCGGTAATCGAGAAATGGAATGCCAGCTCCATCAAGGTCACTTGTCAGCTCATGGATGTCAGTCTGAAGTTCTGCAAAAGCTGCAATTTGAGAAGAGGAAGGAGATCAGAAAAAGATCGGAATTTGGAAATGGGGCGGTTCCACACAGGCCGTTATCCCAGGAGAATCCGCATTTTATAAACATGGATTTTCCTGGGGGCCTGTTCACACAAACCCCAGAAAGCATGTGCGGGTGTCCAGACATTCTCCTGAGACTAGACTGGGAGAATGTCTGGAGGCCTACCCCCTCCCCCGAAGCCCCCTTTGAAAAGTAATGAAAAGTTACGTGGCCACCATTACAGGCTTTGAGCAGCTCTCCCGGTGCGTAGAAATGACGCACCAGGAGGGGAGCAATTCCCCCCCCCCCCCACTCTCCTGGCACATCATTTCTAAGCACTGGGAGAGCTGCTTGAAGTCTGTGATGGAGGCCAGGTAAGTTTTCATTACTCTTCAAAGGGGTCTGGGGGCTTCAGGGGAGGGGTCTTCCCACAGTTTACCGGGAATGGTGTAGTGGGTTTATCCCACACCTTCCAAGAAGGCAAGGAATAAATCCAGTATCTATTTAATTCACCACAAACCAGGGTTTCCTGGTTGTGGTGAATTAGTTTGGGACTGTCCAGAACGTTGTCTGGACAGTCCCTCCTTTATTGCGGTAGATACCGCAATAAAGGTGCTATCTAAATGGGACCTGGTAGAATAGTATTTAAGTAGATCACTGTTGGATCAAGTGTTAAACTTCATCATTGAAACTCACAGAAGTACCCTGAGCAAGACTTTAAGCCTCACCTGCTACAAAGAATGTGGTATGTATATCTGAGTGCCATTGCTCACGTTCTTTGAAGAAAGAAATAATAAAATGCTTTAAATACAAAACAGTGCCTTCCTGAGAGCAAAACACCACACACTGTTTAGAAACCCAAAGCTCAGCAGTGGGATCCAGAGTTTCCAGTTAAAAGTATTTCGAGAAAAAATGGAGACTGATGCTTATAGCTTTGCTGTCATACAGCAGCAACAGCATGAGGGCAGAGGGCCTGAGTAGTATAAGGTATACAAAATGCAGACGATGCTCACTCACCACAAGACAAATTCCAAAATCCATACTGTGATAATGGCCTCAATTACTAACAAGCTTTTGCCATCACAGCTCTTTTCCCTGTGCAAAGATATTCATAAAAGTGGGTAGAAAAAGGGGGGAGGATCATATGACAGCCATGTAGGCTGTTGTATTCCTTAAAGCGGTTTCTAAATAGTGATGACCCCAAGGGAAGCTAATCTGGAGTGCTCTTGGAGAGATTTCCGTAAGGGTCCACTGGTCATCATGGCTTTCCTCTAAAGTTGAGAAAATGTGATTGGCTCAAGATAACCTGGTGGGTTTCCAGGGATGAGCTAGGATTCAAATTCTAGTTTCCTTGTAGATTCCTAGTCCAATGGTGGGAGCTCTTTATGTAGGCTGCTAGTTGACCAGAGCATCAAATCAAGGTCATCAGGTTGTACCACAGTGGTGCCTTGTCATTATGGGAATAGAAAAGATAATAGAGGGAATTACACTCTGATCTGCTCAGATATAGAAGCTCAGGTGGTTGCTTCTATTACAAACTCAAAGGCCACACTGTAATACAGCTTGAACATTCAATATATGGGAATTACAAATCTGGAATATCTGCAAGGGTGGCTGGGATAGTGACACTTTTGCTTTTGATAGTTCATTGTATACAAACTTTGTTTCAAGCATCATCACCATCATCACCATAATGACAATCATAATAATGGTAGAAACATAATAGAGTTATAGGTCTGGATGGGATTGACTAGGCCAGTGATGGGCAACCTTTTGAGCTTGGTGTGTCAAAATTTGCCAAAATCCTGAGCATAACTTGGGTGGGGTGTCAACTTCAAGAAAAAAACAACATAATTTTGCTATATTTATAGTTTAAATAAGAAAAATGTATATTCCATGCTGAGTTGTGGAGTGAACAATGCTCAAACATGCAGATGTTAAATTTGTAGAGCCTTTTACAAATTTAAGGATGGAATTAGATTGGCTCTTATAAGGTGTACTTCTCTGTATGTGGCCACATGTCATCAAAAATAGCCATGTGTGTTAGTGCTGACATGCATGTCATAGGTTCACCATAACGGGACTAGGCTGTCGAGTGAAACTTTCTGCTTAATCCTCAACTTCCAGCTACAGCAGTGGTTCTCAACCTGTGGTCTACAGATGTTTTGGCCTTCAGCTCTCAGAAAGCGTAATAACTGGTAAACTGGCTGTGATTTCTGGGAGTTGTAGGCCAAAATACCTGGGGACCCAAAGGTTGAGAACCACTGAGACAGAGCACCTCCAGCAGACAGCTGTCCAGTCTTTATCTGAAGACCTTTAGAGAAGAAGACCTCATTTCATCTCTGGATCATTAGTTCCATAGCTGATCTGCTCTTACTGTACATATCCTACAATCTCCTTTTATGTAGGCCATGCATTCTTAATTCTTTGCTATCAGAAAGCCTATGATCCTTATGTGTCAGGTTGAAAGGAGATATGCTAGTTGTAACCTTTCTGCTGTTCTGAGAACAGACAGCCTGTTCTAAAGATATATACACTTGTGTTCTACATCAGTCCCAAGCAAAGTCTTTGATCTCTTCCATTAGTTTTACCTTCCTTGCATTCCAAAGCCACTCGGGATTCCAGGTTGTCCATCTGCATCTGGAGCCGCTTGAGGGTCAGGTCACTCTCCCGGGACTTGCGCTTGTAGGCAATCAGCACAGCCACAATGAAGATGATGAGGAGCCCACCCGCCACGGCAATGCCAACAATGGCAGGCAAACTGAGTGGGCTGTCTGGAGAGATGTTCACTGTCCCAGGGGAAAACTCCATCCCTCCCACACGAGCCTAAGGGAAGAATCAGAGAACAGTGGCATTGAAGGGAACCTAGGGTTAATTTTAATAAATTCTGAGCCAGTGAAGAAATAGGAACCCAAAGCATTTACAGCTGAAGATTTTGAGAGTTGCAGTAAAAAAAAATCCTTTTTCTATACTCTAGAGTAAAATCTGAGATGTCAGAGAATAGTGGGACAGATTTTCAATATTTATGGTAATCAGACATCAATCCAACTAAATAGAAAAAACCCTAGCATTTTTTGCTATTTTTTCTGAACTAAATTGACAAGTTGCAAGTGTAAAAGGTCTTCCGAAACTGTGCAGTGTTTGAAGGATATTGACAGCTCAGAAAGTATTATGTGCAAAATTTGTGAAGGAAACATTTTTGTGCAGAAAATATTTTCTGTTCAGAAAATAACATTGCTACAGAATGATTTTATTTTCAGTGCATAATCTGCTGTTTAGTGAACAAAAAAAAATGTTGTTTTCTACATGTAAACACAAGTACATAGAAAGTGTGAATTCTGCACAAAATACCCCGAATTGTCGTTTTCTATATGTAAGCACAAGTTCATACAAAGTGTGAATTTTGCACAGAATACCCTGAATTGTTGTTTTCTACATGTAAACACAAGTGCATAGAAAGTGTGAGTTTTGCACAGAATACCCTGAATTGTTGTTTTCTACATGTAAACACAAGTTCATACAAAGTGTGAAATTTGCACAGAATACCCTGAATTGCAAGGATTCCCATCAATCTGGGGTTCTTTCAGATCTGGTTTCTTGATACTTGAAAAAATATTTTTACCATTTTTTCAATAGCTTAGTATTCTTTCTAAGTATTTATTTTGAAAAAGAAGAGAAAGTAGGCCAATTCATTTAGTCTAAAGAATTGTATCCAGAATCTCATTTTTTTCAGGAGGTGACTCACTTGCCCCACCTGTGTATAAGGAGCACCAGTTCTCACCATCACTTTATGCCGTCCCGTGAGATTTGGGGCCTCGCACAGGAGCTGCACATCAGATACTGTAACTGCACATGGCTTTTCCCCAATGAGCACTGTATAATTCAGCTTGGCATTCCCTCCTGCTACAGGTGGAATCAGGTTCTTGCCCTGAAATTAAGAGAAAAGTATCGTAAAGAGATGCAGCATGAAGAAGTGGAATCACACAGAATGGGATGACACATCGTAGGTCATCTCAGGGTTTAGGCCTGACTTTATGTTTCCTACAACAAGTGGGATTCACTCTTGAGACAGAAATGTAATTTTTCACTAAGTTTCTTCWTGGAGMTATATATATGTATGGACGTGCCTTCAAGTTTCCTGTTAARTTTGGSAATACSATYAATTTCATAAGATTTTCTTAAGCAAAGAATSKTCAGAGGTTGTTTTGCCAGTTTCTTCCTCTGAAATATAGCCTAGCACTTGYTACTCARTGGTAGTTTCCWGCCCAAGCATGAGGGTTGAATGWAAAGTAATYCCTCCACCTTCGTTACTTGGGTTTGGATGGGAATATTTTAATAAATCAAARGCAGAAATAATCCTTAGAATGTGCTCTTTAACTACCACTATTCACTTTTCCACATAATCACCAGACYATTGGATATATTTCTGCCAARYATGAACAAGTTTTCTGAAGCRGTCATGGAAGAATTGACCCTCTGTTTCTGCAACCAGCGTCTCACAGTTCTCTCAATGTTTCCATKGTACACAGATCTTCTGATAGCCAAGCAAAGCAACAATGTGATCCACACGGTCTTGTGAAATGCCGATTATGCTTGCAATTTTTCTCTGAGTGATACGGCGATCATCCTGAATCAATCTGTCAACCTTTTACTTGTGAAACGTGGTGGTTGCTGTCACAGGACATCCAGCTGTTTGTCACGCAAGTCAGATGTTCCTACCTCAACATCTTTAAACTTTACTCACCCAATGATGCACAGTACTCACATCAACACAATCACCATAAACACCTTGCATACTCTGATGAATCTCCTTTGGGGTAACACCTTCTGCTGTCAAGAATTCAATGACTGCATGTTAAGTTGCATTTACTGACTGTCTGCACAGGGTTCAATACTTCGCACTTTAACAACACAACTGTTCAATGCTAAGGCTTCCCGCCAAAATGGAACTGTAGAGGAGAGTCTACTGAACAAGCCAGTGCATGCCGCATACCAGTACTGCCATCTGTTGAGGAGTTACGAAGGTGGAGCCATTACTTTTCATTCAACCCTCATACTAACTACAGTTGACCATGCTTAGCTTAGGGGACAAGATTTGATGCCTTGAGTTCTGCAAGATTGGACAGGATCTGGGTACTTGAGTATGCAATTAATACTTTGAACAACTGCTTGAATGTCAGGGATAAAACCAGGAAGAGATTCACACACTTGAGCTGGGTAACATACATAACCCAGAATCGGAAAAGGACAGGAAGAAAAGGTGTTTAGGATTTTGAAAGCACATCTACATTGAGACAAAGGTTTTCATGATCATAGTTTGGAAGAGATGGTGAAACTATTAAGGAGGATTAATGTAATGTCCCTTGTGTTTGCTTTTTCCAAGCAAGTCTTGAAGAAGCATCAAAGACTGGAGACGTTTCTTCGATTAGTCTGTAAAACCTTGGGAGAAACCAAATGGTTCACAAACTAATACCAAGGGGAAGTCACCCACTACTACAGTTTTAGAAAGGACTTGATAATGGGTGGCTTGGACGAAATCCAACTTTGGACGAATCCTCTCTTTCCACATACCTTTAATATAATAGGAGTCCCCGGTTTCAGCTCCAAAATCCCAGAGGGGTTGAAAGCCTCAAAGACAGGATTTGGATAGTAGGTGAAGTTGGTTTTGTTGAGGATCAGCAAGGACTGGACATTGTCCAAGATGAAGCCAAACTCCTCCGGTCGCTCGGTGAGGTCAGACAGGTTATTTGGGTCAATAGCTAAGGCTGGTGCCTGGCAGACCATCTCCGTGTCATTCTGGACTTCACAAACCTGGAAGAGATAAGCCATTACAAACTAATTATAGTATGTTGGAGGATGTATGTCCTAAATTAATGCTACTATACAAACCTGGGAAACACTGACAACATGTCATATATCATTCTCAGTTGGTGGTGATAGGCCTAGCAGTTGGTGATGGAAGGGTTAATGTAAGTCTTAGTTCTAAAGGGTTGAGTAATCTGCAAGTAAGAGTTCATGGGTGAAAGCAATTAAGGGTGAAGGTCTACAAGAGATAGGCTGCAGCTGGGTGTTTCTGGATATAATGAGCTAGCCTTGGGACTAATCTTTGGGAGAAAAGTATTTGTTTTATTTTGGTGGTAGATGCTGCTGGTTTTCCCCCAGGTCTCTGGGTTTTCGGTATTCTGACCTGTCTCCTGAACTCTTAGAACCCTGGAACTTTGAATCTCTGGACTGGTTTTGGACTATATACCTTAGTCCAAAGCCATTCCAGAGATTCAAAGTTCACTCGTGAACTCTTGATCTTGACTTTGCTCATTGAACTCTCGGCCTTTGACCACTGGACTGGACCCTCTGACTATGGTATAGCATTTGCTATCAGTTTTTGTTTATTCTGTGGCTGAGTGCTATCTTTATGTTTTACATTTTGGACTATTAAAACAGCCAGGAAGTAAGTGCTGTTTCAATTAAACTGTTTGATACAAACTGAGTATTTGTTTGGTTCATCTCTGCCTGAATAAGGCAGAGCCCTGGCATCGTGACACAACAGCATGTGTACTCACTTTTAAAGGAAAGGCATACAGTTTCCAGACAAATGGGTTAGAAATAGAAATGAGAATCACCATCCTTATTCCTGACCCAATTCATTCATTGGCTTTTCAGCATATGTAAGCAGCAGGGAGAGGATTTGATGGCAACTTTCACCCATTCTTATTTATTCAAATGTGTTTAATGTGAAGGAACAACTTAGGCTTACAAATGCACTCCATTGTTTACTCTGCTCTTTCCTTTGTGACACTGCCTACTTTTGTTGGCAAAGGAACAGCTTTGTATTGCTCCATTAGGACAGATATCATAGAAAATGCTTCTCTTCTTACAGGCTGAAAGAACATAATTGCTGGTCTATGTTTGAAAAGGCCAAATTATTGACTTGGAAATAATAACAAGAAGAAAGCAGAAGCAATTAATATCCATGCCGATAATGGCTTTTTGAATCTTAGCTCTGGTGAAAATGTGTCTGGATTCATTAATATGAATGTATTTGACCATCGGTTGGATTATCCTTGTGTCTATTTACCAGGTCTTGTAGTATCTGGAGCAAGCTGCATGTCTCGGATTAGCTGTTGTTATTGTCTTGGTTTTTGGCCTGAAGCTAAAACAAATGAACTCAAACCACACTGAAATCCATCTTGCTTGTGAGTGCAGAGACTGTCCCTATCCACCCAGGGCTTCTCTAAACATTGGTGGAAAGAATCCAGCAGTCTGCAAAGTCCAGATTGGATCAGGGCTGTAGAGAAGACTTGCAAATCTCCTCATCCTTGTCAACAAAGGATCTTTTGATACATGAAGACAGTTTAGCAAGAAAGTGGTCAATAGGTGCGTTGTTGTATGTTTTTTGGGTTGTATGGCCAGGTTCTAGAAGCATTCTCTCCTGACATTTCGCCTGCATCTGTGGTAAACATCCTCACTACCTCTGAGGATGCTTGCCACGATGCAGGTGAAACGTCAGGAGAGAATGCTTCTAGAACATGGCCATACAACCCAAAAAACATACAACAACCCAGTGATTTCGGCCATGAATGCCTTCAACAATACAAGTGGTGATATTAGCGCAGGAGATGAAGAAAATTGTCAGTATTGTTTTGTCGCTGCAAGATTAACAATAGCTAAAACATGGAAGGGGGGAAAAGAGTTAACTATAAAGGATTGGAGAGATAAATTAGTAGATTATATCCAAATGGCCAAACTGACAAATAGCAGCAGAGGAGGAAATAATGAAGAATTTGTTATAAAATGGAGGTTGACAATTGGATATCTCGAAAAGAAGGCAAAAGTAGATTTGAAGATCGCCATAAAGGGGATTCAGTGAAAGAAAACATGTGGGTTGTTGTGGGTTAGTTATGTGATCCACATGGAGTGGTGTCGGAGGTCATGGGGGTTGGGTTCACGGGTGTGGGGTTAAAGGGACAATAAATGTTAATGTATTATAACTCTACAGTTAAAGTTGATTTTTCATATGTTTAATGAGCACTGACTGTATACTATTCTGTAAACTTGCATACTCTTTTGTATATCCTTTTTTTCTGTTTTTTTGTTTGTTTTCTATTTATTTCTGTTTTCCGCTGGTGTCAGTTTCGTTTTCTGTATGCACCATAAACCAATAAAATTATAAAAAAAACCAATAAGAGTGGTCAATAGCCATGAGGTATTTTGCATTTCAAGACTTTTAATGGAAACTGTGTTTCCACAAAGGTTTGTATACTATTAGCCCTTTTCTAAAAAGGATCCATCCCCTTCTCTGAGTAGATTGGTGAAAGGTGAACGTTCAGTCCATCCCAAGAGAACTTAAAGGAAGCACCTTCTTGGGTCTCCTTTAAGGAGAAATGCCAAAGAAATGCTACCACCATTTTTTCTCCCTGGCATTGAAAAAGGACAGAAGTGGAGCCACATCAGAGAGAGAGCAGTGGCAATCGGTTCTTTTCTTGGGTTCTTCTGCAATGAACGAAGCTTTTCCCTTTGCCACTCAACTCAGACAAGGAGATGGTTCCTTTCAGATAAGACCTAGGGTACATCACTATTCCAGTTGATTTTTTAAATTTACATTTCTAGAGCACATACAGTGCACACCAACCTATCTTCAAGAAGTGTTTGAATACCCAACACCATCTCCTCTGAGGGTCTCAAATTTAGGATATAAAATTTGTTGTTTTTGTTATATTACTGTTTAAATTGTATATTTATGTTTTTGGTTATGGGTACCATGAGGAGCCCCCGGTGGCGCAGTGGGTTAAACCCCTGTGCCAGCAGGACTGAAGACCGACAGGTCGCAGGTTCGAATCTGGGGAGAGGTGGATGAGCTCCCTGTATCAGCTCCAGCTCCTCATGCGGGGACATGAGAGAAGCTTCCCACAAGGATGACAAAACATCAAAACATCTGGGCGTCCTCTGTGCACTGTCCTTACAGACAGCCAATTCTCTCACACCAGAAGCAACTTGCAGCTCAGGTCGCTCCAGACACGACAAAACAAAAACAAAAAAACCCCCCAACAACCATGGGGTGCCGGTTTGTTAGTTGCCCTGAGTCCCTCTGCAGAGGTCGAGATAGGATGGGATATAAACATTCGAAATAAATAAATAAGAATATGGCAATACCTTTAAAACTGGTCATCATTTTAGCATGAGCTTTCATGAATATAAACCCACTCTGCAGTACAAAGCCTCAGGGTATAAATCATATTTATTAGGGTTGTGCATTCATGTAGCATCATTATTAGTTTTTGCTTGTTTGAACCGGAAGCTCTCCGTTCCCATTTTCGCTTGCCTCCTGAAACTTGATATGTTTCTGAATGGATGTTTTGGTTCCATGTAGAAGAGCGAAAAATGTTTGGCCTATTGGCAGCAACGGGGTTAAGAAAGTACCCATTATGTGAGGTGAGAGGACTTCCCACAGGCTCCCCTTCCATATCCTTCCTTAAGATCTGGTCTTTAGAAAGCATCAGAGTTACCACTCTTTCTGGTTCTTTTCCCTTTGTAGAAGAGGGGATCAGGTTTAATGCTTCTTAAAGCTGTTCTACTCTAGAGGAGAGATCAAAATGGCTTGCCTTTGAGGCTCCTGCGGTTCCAGGTCCAAGATAGAGGGGTTGAGGGAGGGAGGGAGGGAGGGAAACCTCCTGGGCCTTTCACTGTATGTACCTAGCCTTGCCCCCCCCCCCCCTCCTTCTGCTGATGCGAGCTGGAAGCCTGGCTGTTGCTGATGCTAAACTTTTCCATGTTGCTGATGGAAAAGGAGGAGGCTAGACCTGGGAGGGCTAAAGATACCCCACTTTCTGGAATTGTTTGTTTGTCCATATCCGGACTCTTGTGGCACTGGGTCCATCTCCCTGAGAGATAGGCAGATGAGGGGGGAGCTCCTTGGCTCTTGGCTGCACATTTCAAGGAGGCCCAGGGAAGGAAGAGCTGATGACCTGGAGTTCAGTTGAGCTAGGAGCGCCACATGATCACGAAAGCAGAGGGAGAGCTGGTTATCGGCTCCTGCTTGCTTTCATGTTGAGCTGATTTTCATACCGGGAGGGGGCTTCCCATTACGTGCTCCCGAAAGAAACAAAAAGAATGAAAGAACAGATGAAACAGGAGAAACTAATTCCACACACAATTGGAACTGTGCGTGAAATTGTGGGAATCCGATAGAGTATAACAGGATCCAAAAAGGTGCCAATCATGTTTCTTGCTATACATTTTTGAACGGCTGGACAAAACGATCTAGGTCTTTGAGATAGTTACAGTGAAGAAGTGAGTTTTTATCCAAGAAAGTTCATGCTAAAAAAGCATCAGAAAATCTTGAAAGTGCTGCCACATTCTCTTCCCTTAGATGGTGCCTCTAATGAGATAGAAACAAGTTGACCTTCCAGACCAAACTCCTTCCCTCCTGCATCTTCAATCTTGCCAGTGAAATAGCCCAAGCCATTCTCCATTAGGTTCTATGCTAACTCCTTGAACCAATTCTGTTGAACTAAATCAGAAGTGACACCACTCAGGGCAGTCTCATAGATGTGCCAGCCGGTCATATAGGCAACGCATGCTGCAGGATAACATAGTTGACCACATTAGCATGTAATGCCTTTTCAACTACCACTCTTAAGCAGGAGTAAAGTAATGGGCCCTCTGCTAGGACAGCAAAATGCCTGTCACTAGGAAGGCTGAAGCCAAATAGAAGGACCATACCTATGTTTTGACATTATTGTCTAATAACACTTTCTGAACACTTGCTTCTCCTATCTGAATCTGCCCTGCGTCCCTTCGGGAAGAGAAGGTGGGCTATAAATAAATATAATGATGATAACGATTATCTGCTATTAGAACAAAGATAGTATAAGGATTTTCTGCATGCCTCTAATATATATACTGTGTCTCTCTAGCGAAGTGGCGGATTTATAGCCCCTCACGGCTATCCGTCACTGCCCTGGGCTCTCAGCTCGTCCTGGCGCACCCCAAAACAGCCTCAGATAAGTTCAAAGAGAAATAAACTTTATTCACAGCTGTGAAGGCAAATGGTACCAGCTGTAACTCAGCTCAAAAATGGACACCACCGCAGACAAAACACATTCCTGGAGGGTTTTGATCCCTCCTTGTAAACATCTCAGGTCACAGTTCTAGCCTAGATCAAGTTTCCCATATTTGGTCACATTATAAAATCTTCTACTTTCATTGGCTTAATCTCACCTCTGCATTTTACCAAATTAGGCACTAAGAAAGATAAACAAGAAGACCCAATGCGCATTGCTCCTTCCCGAAAGGGAGGGGTACTCCTGCTTTTTCTAACTTTGGTTCCTTCAATCCCTACTTTCCCTTTGCGAAGCGAATAATCTCTTTTTCTGAGTGGAGCAAACTCATATCTATTTGTTACATTTCTACTTCTAGATTTCTGTAACCTACCTCCCATGGAGTGTTTTCTATACGTGAAACTCCTGTTCTTCCACTTGGTTTCTCATTTCTGGAGACAGTTGTGACTTCTCCAAATTACCTTGTGTGTCATAAACAATTCTTCGAAGGATCATAAGCTTTTGTTCAGTTAAAGAACTGTGGTTCTCGATGTTTTGGCCTTCAACTCCCAAAAATCCTAACAGCTGGTAAACTGGCTGGGATTTCTGGGAGTTGTAGGTCAAAACACATGGGGACCCATAGGTTGAGAACTACTGCACTAGAAGTTTTCCCACTTGCTCAATCACCATTTCGAATGCATGGTTATCATGCAACCAAACTATATGGTCACAGAAACTCATAGGCACTTGTGGCCCAGTCTATCTATCTGAACGCAACTCTTCCTACGAACCCCCCAGGAACTTAAGATCGTCTGGGGAGGCCCTGCTCTCGATCCCGCCTGCTTAGCAGGCACGTCTGGAGGGGACGAGAGACAGGGCCTTCTCTGTGGTGGCCCCCGGCTGTGGAACTCCCTCCCTAGGGATATTAGATCAGCCCCCTCCCTCCAGGTTTTCCGAAAAAGAGTAAAAACTTGGCTCTTCGAGCAAGCATTCGGAACCAGAACAGACAAACTAGAGTTGGAAATTGACTGAGGAATGGCCAAGACAATGTAACGGATGAAGATTTGAATGAGACGACATAGTTTCTTTTTTAATTGTTTATCATGCAGTGTGGTTTATGTTTAATTGCACTTGATGTTTTTGCTTTATCAATGTATGTATTTTGTTTCGGCATCAAATTGTGCCGACTGTGTATACCGCCCTGAGTCGCCTTCGGGCTGAAATGGGCGGGATAGAAATAATGTAAATAAATAAATAAATAAATAAATAAGACACTTCTCTCACAAACTTGGGACGAACCCAAAAGATTCAAGCCAATTAGAACACACAGACAGAGTTTGAGCTATAACTCCCAAAAACTCCAATTAACTTGGTGAAGGCTCCTAACAGAGGCTAGATTTCTCAGAAGCACTGTACTCTTGTGTAATTTATAATAAACATCATGAGTCCTTCTATGGAGGTAGAGAAGATTGGGATATAAAAATTTTAAATAAATAAATAATAAATAAACTTTCGAGACAGAGGCCATACGTAGGGCATTGTTCACGAGATTAAGGAAAAATGGAATGAATTCCTCCCTTTCTCCGTTGCCCTCCATAAACTATTCACAGACTTGCCTACTTGGGCAGGTTGAGAACCCTAGAAGAACGGGGTTCCAAATCACAATGAGAATTTGCAAGTATAGAAATCAATGTTGATATTGATGTTGATGTTTGCTGTTTAATTAATTGTTTAGGTAAATGTAAAGGTTGTCCCCTGACATTAAGTCCAGTCATGTCTGACTCTGGGGGTTGGTGGTCATCTCCATTTCTAAGCCGAAGAGCCAGCGTTGTCCATAAACACCTCCAAAGTCATGTGGCTGGCATGACCGCATGGAGCGCCGTTACCTTCCCGCCGGAGCGGTACCTATTGATCTACTCACATTTGCATGTTTTCGAACTGCTAGGTTGGCAGAAGCTAGGGCTGACAGCGGAAGCTCATGCCGCTCCCTGGAATCGAACCTGCGACCTTTTGGTCAACAAGCTCAGCAGCTCAGTGCTTTAACCCACTGCGCCACCGGGGGGTCCCTAATTAATTTAATTGTTTACTATTGCTTTAAATGTCCAATGATTTTGTACCATGTAGTATATTGAAACTGTGTTGTTAACCGCTCTGAGTTGCCTAAGGGCTGAGAAGAGCAGTATACAAATAAAGTAAATAAATAAATAAATAAATAAATAAATGTTGGCTTCCACTTGTGGGGTTATATAAGAAATGGCACAACTTGGAAAAGCAGCTCTAATGCCTGTGAGATGCCAAGAGTTGAGTCAAGAATACGTCCCATGATGAGGAAGGATGCAAATCTTCACTTATTTCATTTTCCAATCCAAAATCAAACAATTCCAAAAGTTGCATAAAATTATGAGGTTTTTTCCACATTATTTTTTGTAAACAGATATACAAGTTTGTTTGTAGAAAACAGTGCATTTTGAACAGAATGTGTACAAAATGCATTGCTTTCTGAAAAAAAATGAATTTTTTGCACAAATACATTTTTCAGAAATAGGTCCCAAAATTTGCAAAGAAATTTCCTGCAGGTGATGAAGATGTATCTGTGTTTTGAGATACCTGGTCAGTGAAATATAAGAAAATTTGTGAGTAACCTCTTTAAAGTGGAGATAGCACTGTTTCTCTAGCAACTGACATGGAGAAAGTAACTTCCTCAAACCCCGCCACTGGACCAATTCAGACCCATCTGTATTCGCAACTCTCATACTCACATTGATGTGTTCCTTCCCACCGTACTTTGACCGGATCTGAGGGTTTTGGATCAGGTCCAGATTGGTCCCCCATACTGTAATGGGTGTATTTCCACTGAGGGACAGAGGAAAGAAAAGAAAAGATTCAGTGGTGACAATGAAGGTTCTTTCAAACCATTCTTGTGGATATTTACTCCAAATTAAGGATGGCAGACTGAATTGTCCTTGAGAATTTGATTTATGGCAGTGCATACACAGGTTGAGCATCCCTCCGCTGGGATTTCAAAATCCAAAATTATCCATATGGGTGGCTAAGATAGTGATACCTTCCCTTTCTGCTGCTTCAGTGTAAACAGGCTTTGCTTCATACACAAGATTATTCAAAATATTGGAAAAGATTATCTTCAGGCTATGAGTATGAGGTGCATATGAAACATTAATGAATTTTATGTTTAGACTTTGTTGAGGGTTGTAGATATAAATAAACAGAAGCTTTACTACTGTCTTTGAACCAAAATACACCCTGTAGTATAATAATGCATCACTCAAATTTGTGTAATGAATAACACTAACTTTACTTCAGTTCAAAAGGTCAAAGAGAGCAACAATATATACAGCAGTCTTTCTGAATTCTTACAGAGAGCAGAGGGAATAAAGAGTCTTTTTAAACAGGCTTTAAAATATGCTTCATGCCTTAGAAATGATCAGGTTTCAGAGAGTTGGAAGCCATTTCCTTCTTATTTCCAATCAGTGCTCTCTTCTCTCTCCGAGATAAAAGTGGCAGTTAAAACCGTTTCTCTCAGCAGCAAGCTAGAGATAGTAGCCAATCAAAATTCTGGCTCCTCACTGGCTTAGCCAATCATCTGCTGACACATGGCTTACCAGTCAACCCATGGTGCCTTTTTACAATTCCCCACAGACTTGGGCCCCATCTCCAAGATCCCTCATTCCTTAAAAGCCATAAACAGTCATTTTAAACATTCTTGAAAATATGCTTCATGCCTTAGAGATGATCAGGTTTCAGAGAGTTGGAAGCCATTTACTTCTTGTTTCCAATCAGCACTCTCGTCTCTTTCTGAGATAAAAGTGGCAGTTAAAACCGTTTCTCTCAGCAGCAAGCTAGAGATAGTAGCCAATCAGAATTTTGGCTCCTCACTGGCTTTGCCAATCATCTGCTGACACATGGCTTACCAGTCAACCCATGTCGCCTTTTTACAATTCCCCACAGACTTGGGCCCCATCTCTGAGATCCCTCATTATGTATATGTAACTATTAGGCTTGGTTGATAAAAAAATTGGTTCAAAACTCATTTTGGATGTAGAGGGCGCTGGTGAGTTCAATTCTAAAGTCACTAGGCTTGGGCGGTTTCGTTCGTTAATTTCGTAATTCGTTATTAATTCGTATTTAAATTAGCTTACGAACCAATATTGAGCCATGCAGGAATAGTGTGAGGAGTAAATTAGATTCAAAACAATTTTTTCAATTTATTTCGTAATTATTTCGTTATTATTTCGAAATTATTTCGTAATTATTTCGTTATTATTTTCGCATGTCTGGTGCAAGTTTTATAGTTGTTGTTTGTTTTATCACACCAACAGTCAACAACAGAGGGAGACGGAAGCTTCAGAAGTTCCCCCTGTCCCATTTGGAGGTTTTTTTAGCATATTGCACAATCGCGTCCTCCATTAACGAATCGATTCGTAATTATACGAAATTTCGTAAATTTCAAAAATTTTAAAAGGAAAATTTCGGAATTCTTAAAAAAAACGAAACGCGGTGGACCCCTAAAAACGAAACGAGTTTAGAAACAAATTTTTCCGTTGTTACCCAGGCCTAAAAGTCACTTCTGAATTTCTCAAAAAAAATTTCAAAACTTTTCAAAACTTCAGAGACTTCCAAATTGCTTCATTAATGGTTTGAAAGTGTTATTTTCTGTTTCGTTGGGTGGTCTTTACATTGAAAGTAGTTGTTCTATTCCAGAAAGTTTGTTTGTGTGCCACAAACTCTGTTAAATTGGTGGAGAACAGGAATCATTGTACAGTGTTCCCTCACTTATCAGGAGTATTCCGTTCTGGGATAAGTGCCACCAGCCCATTCCCCGAAGCCACGCAGGCAGCAACAGGCAAGCCTTCCCTGCTTCTCGTCAGGCCACCAACACAAGAAGAGGAAAGGAAAAGCTTTTCCCTCCTCTTCTTGTCATCTCCCTCATCCTGAGATGGTGAGGGACAAGAAGAGGAGGAAAAAGCAGAGGAGGACATTCCTTCCTTCTCCCCTTTCTCCTCCTCTTCTTGTTCCTCGCGCAGCTCAAGTCGAGGGAGATGGACAAGAAGAGGAGGGAAAAGCAGAGGAGGAAATTCCTTACTTCTCCGCTTTTCCCTCCTCTTCTTGCTCATTTCCCTCGACTTGAGCTGGTCGTGGGACAAGAAGCGGAGAGAAAAGAGAAGGAAGGAATTTTCTCCTTCGCTTTCCCTCCTCTTCTTGTCCCTCACCCAGCACAAGCCAAGGGAGAGGAACATAAAGAGGAGGGAAAGCGGAGTAGGAAGGAATAAAAGAACCCTGGGAGAAATCTGAATATTATTTAATATTCCCAGAAAAAAAGTTAGTGGTTCAAATTTGGATTTGCCCCTCCCGCCTTTCTTGCATGGTTCAAAACTGCTTCGGAAGGGAAAAGTTAGAAGTTTTTAATGACTTTTCCACTCTTCTGAACGAACCTATCCAACCCTAGTAACTATTCCAAAATCTGAAATATGGAATGCCTCTGTTCCCAAGCATTTTGGAGAAGGGATACTCAATCTGCATTTCCATAGATTTGTAGACAACATGGTGCATATATTTGCACAGACTCCACTTAGGCAGGAAAAACGAAATGCAAAGATACAGAATGGGGAACAATGCCTGGCTCGAGAGCAGTACGTGTGAAAAAGATCTTGGAGTCCTCGTGGACAACAAGTTAAACATGAGCCAACAATGTGATGTGGCGGCAAAAAAAGCCAATGGGATTTTGGCCTGCATCAATAGGAGCATAGTGTCTAGATCTAGGAAAGTCATGCTACCCCTCTATTCTGCTTTGGTTAGACCACACCTGGAATATTGTGTCCAATTCTGGGCACCACAATTCAAGAGAGATATTGACAAGCTGGAATGTGTCCAGAGGAGGGCGACTAAAATGATCAAGGGTCTGGAGAACAAGCCCTATGACGAGCGGCTTAAGGAGCTGGGCATGTTTAGCCTGAAGAAGAGAAGGCTGAGAGGAGATATGATAGCCATGTATAAATATGTGAGAGGAAGCCACAGGAAGGAGGGAGCAAGCTTGTTTTCTGCTTCCCTGGAGACTAGGACACGAAACAATGGCTTCAAACTACAAGAAAGGAGATTCCATCTGAACATGAGGAAGAACTTCCTGACTGTGAGAGCCGTTCAGCAGTGGAACTCTCTGCACCGGAGTGTGGTGGAGGCTCCTTCTTTGGAAGCTTTTAAACAGAGGCTGGATGGCCATCTGTCAGGGGTGCTTTGAATGCAATATTTCTGCTTCTTGCGGGGGGGTTGGACTGGATGGCCCATGAGGTCTCTTCCAACTCTTTGAATCTATGATTCTATGACATAGATGCATGTATCAAGAAGACAAGGCCCAGAGTATGTTTTGCCCAGCCATATTTCACTCACAGTTGCACCAGACCATGGGTTTGGCATTGAGAAATGCATAATCTGGAAGCAATCCTCAAAGAGGATGCATTTTGTTCACCATTACGTATCATCAAGGGTTAAAATTATTATGAGAGTACAGATCAATGAAAAAACAGTACAGATCAATGAAAAAACATGGCCATGAGATAAGTATTCTGGCACCATAAATATATAGGAATGACAGTTCGTGTACGTGTAACCCGTGTGCATATTCATCAAAAGCAGGTACAAGCATATTACGAATACAACCAATAGGGACACTGGAGTAAATGAAGTTGTTTCATTTCCCTCCCCTCCGGCCCTAAAATGGGAAGTCCAGTTTTTTCATCTTCTGATCCCAAATGTATTGATGTTTAATTAATCTTAACCTTTTAAAATCTCAGCAATAATTAAAGTGACTAATTGATTTGCAAAATGCACCTGCAGAAAGATGATTGGAGAGGCAGAGGCAAAGCAATGGGGAAATTGGCCATCCTGGATTGTAGCCCCCCCCCCCCCCAGGCCTTCCAATTACTTGAGCTTCACTGCGGAGCTCTGGGCCAATGTGGGACGGAGGAGAAGAAGGGAGAGATGTACTCCTCATTTTAAAAGTCTCTTAAAAGGAATACATGAACGTCTAATGACCAATTTCTCTCTTCACTGGGCCAGGCTTGGCACAATTTACATATCCTTCAGCTCTTTCTGCACTCAAGGGATTGTGGAGGCTGCCTGTTATCCAAATGTCAATCGGACCCATCAACTTTCTGCATCAACAGCCAATATAAAGCCTTTGGCACTGTAGTAATTTTGTAAAACCCATCCAAATCCTTATAGGGGACAGGCAGAATATGCAGAATATGCATTTTTGGCTTTGAATGCTCAAAAAGTTCAATGAAAGGCATATTTGGGAAGAGAAGCCACAAATCTGTTAAGGGGACAAATGCATCCCCAAGGCTGTGAATTGCAACACAAAATGAAACTTTCCACAAAATATTTACAAGGATGCCAATATGAGCTGGAATTTTTTTGGTAACTTTTGCAAGTGCAACCCTGGCATGGTAGTTTTGGGCACCCTGACAATTAGACATGGAACCAGAATGATAGGACCAACAATGTGTGGAAAGTAGAACCTAACTATGAGTCGGTTAAACACTGACCAGCAATGAGGTTTGTATTGTTTTAATGTTTTAATTGTTTTAATTGTTTTTACGGGTTTATGGCTATTCCTGCCGATAATATTGATTGTTTACGTTAATTGTTATCAGTGTTATAATTACTGTTGTTACTGATGTTATGTTTTTGATATTATGTTTTTGTAATACAGGCATCGAATTGTGCCTTGTGTGTGTAAGCCGCCCTGAGTCCCCCCGGGTGAGAAGGGCAGGGTATAAGCAACCGCAATAAATAAATAATAATAGTTTGAGCACAGGATTACTACTCCGGTGATCAGGACTGGAGTGTCGTACTCCAGAGCAGAATCACCTCTGAGTTTAAACACCACAGCAGCTGGGTAAAATCAGCAAGCAGTTTTTTTAGGAATATAAATAGCTGAAGCAGTAAAAAGTAATCCATAGTAAAAAGTAATCCAATTGATATAAAGGAAGACAGAAACAAAGAGTCCAAGGAAATCCATGAAACTAGGCACTTGAATCCATGAACAATACAGAAGCATATTGCATAGGTTTGGGAGTTCAGCCTATGATTGTGTTTCAGGATCAGAGTGCTTTGGATGTGGGGAATGATGTAAATGAGGTTCAAGATGGCAATGGTTTGGTCAGTGATATCGATACAGAGAATGACATAGAGACACCTGTTCAAAGTGTAGTTTCCCATGAAAATGTTCCTACAGGGTATAGGGATAATGGTTTACTCCCTGAATTGCTCCCAGAGAATTCCCAGGATTTGGGGCTTGAAAACAATTCAGCACCTGCAGAAACTAATGAACAGATAGATAGGTGAGCAGAAATTAGTCAAAACAGACAGGCCGAGCAATGCTTTTGGAGTTCTGCCAGGCTCCAACAGAAAAAGATAAGGGCTGCTCAAGGAAAGCGAAACCAGTTCCTGAGTGCTTGGAATGGCTTAAAAGCATGGGAAATCTAGTCAAATGAAGCATTGTTTAGAATCCTGCTCAGTACTTGTCCTTGTTTCATGGAAGCTGTGATTTTAACCTAGTCCATAGGAAATATGTCCTTCTTAATAATATCATTACCTGACTATGCTCCACTCTGGCTCAATCCTCAAAATGGTTGGATCCTCCACGTATTTAAACTTCAGTTCCTTGTGTGATTTGGGCTTCTCCAGTTCCATATGCAAGATAGCTTTATCCACTTTCACAGTCACATCCACCATGCTTTTCTCCAAGCTGTTGGTGAAAGCTGTGGTATTGCAGATGATGGAGTCGGCATTCCTCCTGGCAGAGAAATGAAGTGAGATGAAACAAGTCAAGGAGGACAATACAGAGAGAAAGAAGGTTTCCACATGATGTAATTAGAGCCCCTTGATATCACTTTAATTACAACAGCTCCTTTCCACAGAATCTTGGGATTTTGCCTAAATTTATCTTTACCAGGAAGCTCTAGAGCTGTAGGTAGGGAATGCAAGTATCCCAACTAACTGCAAATCCTAGAAGTCAATGGGAATGAGTTATTGCAGTTAAAGTGCTACCAAAGTGCTATAATTTTACAGTATGGATACTCTGAAAGTCTCCTGCAACATTTTTAACTGGTGTTTTTCATAGAATCTTAGAGTTGGAAGAGACCTCATGGGCCATCCAGTTCAACCCCCTGCCAAGAAGCAGGAAAATCACAATCGAGCACTCTCGACAGATGACCATCCAGCCTCTGCTTAAAAGCCTCCAAAGAAGGCGTCTCCTTCATGATGGAAAGAGTTGGGAGAATACTCAGATTTGCACATGGGAGTCCTTATCTTAACAGTCAAAATGTGCTACAGTAAACATCTTAATGTACGGTTAATGGAAATGAGATCAACCCAGCATGGTGTAGCGCAGTGGTTCTCAACCTGTGGGTCCCCAGGTATTTTGGCCTACAACTCCCAGAAACCCCAGATTACCAGCTGTTAGGACTTTTGGGAGTTGAAGGCCAAAACATCTGGGGACCCACAGGTTGAGAACCACTGGTATAATGGATTATACAGGATTGCAACTCTGGAGATCAGCAAAACCCACCAGGTAATTTTGGGGAAGTTACACATTCAGTCCCCACTTGATAGGTTCATCTCAGGGCCACCATAAGTCAAAATTGACTTGGAGGCATACAGCAGTAATTAAGAATGGAACAAACAAAGCAGTTCTGTCTGGGTGAATCTCTTCATACTCGCAAACTCAGCTTCCATTGCAATGCCGAAGAACTGGCTGGAATTCTGTTGACAAACAGTGTTATTGTTCAATGTATTGTCAAAGACTCTTATGGCCAGAATCACTGGGTTGTTGTAGGGTTATATGACCATGTTCTGAAGGCATTTTCTCCTGACGTTCCGCCTGCATCTATGGCAAGCATCATCAGAGGTAGTGAGGTCTGTTGGAAGTAGGAAAATGGGTTTATATATCTGTGGAATGACCAGGGTGGGACAAAGGACTCTTGTCTGCTGGAGCTTGGTGTGAATGTTTCAACTGACCACCTTAAGTAGCATTTGATGGCTTGGCAGTGCCTGGGGGAATCTTTTGTTGAGAGGTGATTAGATGCCTGTGCCCATTCCAACCACCATGTCAGACTACACAGAGAAGCCATTGAAATCCACAAGCATGTGGACAATTTCAACAGAAAGGAGGAACCATGAAAATGAACAAAATCTGGCTACCAGTATTTAAAAAAACTCTAAAATTGCAACAGCACAACAACAAAGAGTAAAAAATCAGGCACACCTAATCACCTCTCAGCAAAAGAATCCCCCAGGCACTGCCAAACCATCAAATGCTAATTAAGGTGGTCAGTTGAAACATTCACACCTAGCTCCAGCAGACAAGAGTCCTTTGTCTCACCCTGGTCATTCCGCAGATATATAAACCCATTTTCCTACTTCCAACAGACCTCACTACGTCTGACGATGCTTGCCATAGATGCAGGTGAAACGTCAGGAGAAAATGCCTCCAGAACATGGCCATATAACCCAGAAAAACCTACAACAACCCAGTGTTATTGTTATTTGCCATCAAGTTATTTCTGACCCAAGGTGACCCTAAGGCAACCTTATCACAGGTTTTCTTGCCAAGATTTGCCTTCTTTCAAGGCTGTCTTCTTCTGAAGGCCACTCAGTGGTTTTCCATGGCATTTGGACCCTGTTGTTTGGAGTACACGAGGTTGACTTATGCACAAGAATATTTGGTAGTGTCATCCAATTAAATAACACTTTCTACTGTTCTAGGGCTAACAGAAAGCCAAGCAATAGGATACATTATTCTCATTTCTGCTTTCTATGCAGTAAAGCTATTATTCTTTTGAAGGAGAAGCAGCTATGAGGGACCAGGTTTGGCTGTTATTGTTTATTCCCTCCGTTGAACCACCCACCTATCACTTTATTTATACTCTGTCATTTCTCTCCAACTTGGAGTCAAGGTATCTTACCAAACAGAGACCGTTAAAACAGCTAAAACTTGTAGTTAAAATAGTATTAAACTAGGTTGTTGTAGGTTTTTTCGGGCTATATGGCCATTGTCTAGAGGCATTCTCTCCTGACGTTTCGCCTGCATCTATGGCAAGCATCCTCAGAGGTAGTGAGGTAGTATTAAACTATCAACAAAATCTAAAAAACTTCAAAGAGTAATTTAAAACAGAAATAAAAGAAGCAAAACACATTTAAAATACCAATTCCATCAGCCTGAACTGGTGCCTGTCAGCTGTAATGGACTGGATGAGGACAAACAAATTGAAATTGAATCCAGACAAGATAGTCGTAAGGCAGGTCAGGGTATAGGGTGGTAACCTGAGTTGGATGGGGTAACAATCCCCCTGAAAATACAGGACCACAGCTTGGGGGGTCCTCCTGATCACTAAGCCTGGGGGCCTAGGAGGGCCTTTGCACAATGAAAACATGTGTGCCGGATGCGACTGTAGCTTGAGAGGCCCTTCTTGGCCATGGTGGTCCATGCCTTAGTTACATCCCACCTAGACTACTGTAATGGGCTCTATATGGAGCTGCCCTTGTAGAGTGCTTGGAAACTGGACCTAGGGAGTGCACAACTCCTCTGCTACAGCACCTTCACTGGCTGCCAATTTGTTTCTGAACCTGATTCAAGGTGCCGGTTTTGATCTTTAAGCCCAACTGGTTCAGGTCCAACTTACTTATCTGACTGCATCTCTTCATACTAACTTGTCCAATCACTAAGAGCATCAGGGGAGGACCTACTCTTGCTTCCACCACTGTCCCAATTATAGTTGCTGGTGACAAGAGAGAGGCCCCTCTTGGTGGACACCCTGAGCCTTTACAATACCATCCCCAAGGAAATTAAAACAGCACTCTCTCGTTCCTCTTTCAAAAAGGAGCTGAAAACCTTTCTGTTTAGGAAGCCTTCAGCAAAGAAGTGTCAGAAAGGCTAATTTTGGTCTCTTTGTGGGAGAAAAGCAGGTTGTAAATAAAGATTTAGCATCATCATCATCATTATTGAAAAAAACATTTCTCCTCCCCAGAGATCTGAGGTCTTAGGGATGTACCAGTGAAAAATGCATGGGTGCTGCCCAAACATCACCGAGACATTGCTGCCGGCATTTAGGTTTTTGCCCCGGATGGTGACTTGTGTGCCTCCTGATAGTGGACCTTGATCTGGACTTAAATCATAAAGCGTTAGAACCTGAAAGACAGAAGGGAGAAAGACAAAACTTGAATGGAATCATGAGCACAAAAGAACTGTGAAAAAACTCTGAAGGTATCTCTTCTTATGAAACATCTAGGAGTTTAAGATCGTCTGGGGAGGCCCTGCTTCCGATCCCACCTTCCTCATAGAAGCGTTTGGTGGGGACGAGAGACAAGACCTTCTCAGTGGTGGCCCCTTGGCTATGGAACACCCTCCCCAGGGATATAAGATCGGATCCCTCCCTTCTAACATTCCGCAAGATGGTTAAGACCTTTTCGAGCAAGCTTTTACTAAAGGTAAAGGTAAAGGTAGTCCCCTGACATTGAGTCCAGTCATTTCTGACTCTGGGGTGTAGTGCTCATCTCCATTTCTAAGCCGAAGAGCCAGCTTTGTCCGTAGACACCCCCAAGGTCATGTGGCCGGCATGACTGCATGGAGCGCTGTTACCTTCCCGCCGGAGTGGTACCTATTGATCTACTCACATTTGCATGTTTTTGAACTGCTAGGTTGGCAGAAGCTAGGGCTGACAGCGGAAGCTCACGCCGCTCCCCGGAATCGAACCTGCAACCTTTCGATCAACAAGCTCAGCAGCTCAGTGCTTTAACCCACTGCACCACCGGGGGCTCCTGCTTTTACTACTGGAGAATAATTAGACGAAAATGGAAAATGGAATAGCCCGGGTTGGAGTGGGCTTCCAACCAATTGTGTAGTCTGTTGTCGACCTTTGCAACCCGAAAGACAGTTGCATCTGTCAAGTAGGAAAATTAGGTACCACCTTGTGTGGGGAGGCTAAATTAACTAATTTATGAGGCCATAAAAAAGACTCCAGCAAAGCACTCCAGCAAAAAGCATGCGGGGAATGGGGAAGTATTTCATCAGTGTCGCAGATGGACGATGAAAGCGACAGCTCCCCTGGCGGCCAGAAAAAGTTAAATAGCCTTTGCGTATGTCTGTAAATGTTGCATGTCAAATTGGCATTGAATGTTTGCCATATATGTGTACACTGTAATCTGCCCTCAGTCCCCTGCGGGGTGAGAAGGGCGGAATATAAATACTGTAAATAAATAAAATAAATAAATATGAAATGACTGCCGACGTAATAGGACCACGATTTCAGTAAGGAGATGCCGAGGACTTTGTTTTATAGATATTATTGTTCTTTTATGTTACATTTGTAATGTTGAATTGTTTTTATAATTGGTTTTAACTGTACCCTGATATTGTTATGGCATCAAATCGCTGCCGACTGTGAACCGCCTTGAGTCGCCTCTGGCTGAGAAAGGCGGTATACAAATGTAGTAAATAAATAAAAATCAGGAAAGATCACAGAGTCTGGATGTAGTGGTCCATGAAATGACCTTTGGCTTATCCATGGATCATATCACAATCCTTAATTTTGGCCCCAAAACTTGCACTTGAGTTATACATGAGGTTGACTTCTACACGAGTAGTTACACATCCTAAAAGCAAGTTCATTTTCTGGTTGTGGATTTCAATGCAACCAAAACAGAACTATCCACAGGAGCCAATCCTGGTCTCTCCTGGAAGGGAGTTCCAAAGTTTGATGCAACATCTGTCTGTCTATCTTCTGTCTTGTTCTGGAAATAGGAGCCAGAACACCCCCTCCCCACCAACAGAGTGTTGACAACTTAGGGGTGGGAAACAATGTCCAACTCTGGGTTGTTGTAGGCTTTTTCGGGCTATATGGCCATGGTCTAGAGGCATTCTCTCCTGATGTTTCGCCTGCATCTATGGCAAGCATCCTCAGAGGTAGTGAGGTCTGTTGGAACTAGGAAAATGGGTTTATATATCTGTGGAAAGACCAGGGTGGGACAAAGAACTCTTGTCTGCTGGAGCTAGGTGTGAATGTTTCAACTGACCACCTTGATTAGCATATAATGGCCTGACAGTGCCTAGAGCAAACCTTTGTTGCGAGGTGATTAGCTCCAGCATCTATGGCAAGCATCCTCAGAGATAGTGTCCTTTGTCCCACCCTGGCCAATCCACAGATATATAAATCCTTTTTCCTCGTTCCAACAGACCTCACTACCTCTGAGGATGCTTGCCATAGATGCAGGCGAAAACATCAGGAGAAAATGCCTCTAGACCATGGCCATATAGCCCGAAAAAACCTACAACAACCCAGTGATTCCGGCCATGAAAGCCTTCGACAGTACAATGTCCAACTCCTTCTCAAGTGGGACATCCATAAAATGTCATATTTTTCATCTCGCTTTCAAAACAGCACAATATTATCTGTTGTTCTCAGGGGGGTTTCCAAAATTGGAACAACAATTTGGGGGAAATCGCATAAATTGCACAAATTGTGTAGCGAAATCACAATAGCTGCTGCCTTGCAGCATGTATTTTTCCAAATTAGAAGCATTAGGTGGATTGTTCAGCTCTTTTTGGTCCTACTGTGCCCGGTGTGCATAGTGTGTGGGTGCCTGTGTGTGTGTGCACGCTCTGCTTCTCAAAGTCACTGGTGTTGCAGAGAGAAATTTTGGAAAAACAATGCAAACGTTGGCAAGGAACAAGAACAGATTCTGGTGAGGGAAGTAAGAAATCCCACAGGGTAACATACTGTGTTGATATGTCAAGATGGCCTTTCTCATTCAGAATGATCAATTTAGTGAGAGATTTCATGTTCCTTACACATAGCGCCTTGAGCTTATTAGGATGGCTAAACTGAAGTGGATCTTTATCCTTTTATTTCTTCCCTAGCATGGGCCTGCAGTGGCTGGTTGGAGGTTAGGCAAAGACCATAAGGAGATCTTCACCAATATGGCCCAGTTTTCCAGATACAATCATTTGGAAACAATTCTGGAGGACTCCTAGGAAGTTCTGTAGGGTGTCTGGGGAGATGGGCAATTCCCTTCCATCATGCATGGTCATGGTGGGAGGGAGTAGATGTCCTGCTCTCTACTCCAAACAAGATCAAAGGGTCTTGGATGAGAAGCCATGGAAGCAAGAAGTATTCACATCAAAACAGCCCAGGGTCAAAGACAGAGTTCTAGGGATTCCTGGCAGCCAAGTCTTTAAACAGTCCAGGATTGTAGATATGTTACACACACTAGTACAAGCAAAGATATGAAGAGTGTGGGTATTTGTAAAGAGACACCATGATGTGGTGGGTTGAGTGGAAATAATGTGTCTGCAACAGATTGGCTGAGCCTGCCAGGAGCCGGAGTTCTGATTGGCTGTTGTCTCTGGCTTACTGTTGAGACAAACGGTTTTAACTGCCACTTTCACATCGGAGAGTAAAGAGAGTGCTGACTGAAAACAGTCAAGAAGGAAATGACTGCCTTCTATTCAAATGTCACCTTCTTTTTAGGAATTGACCAATCAGGAACAAGCACCTTAAACCCAGGAACACACCCAGATAAAATACAGACATAATACTTGCTTACTTAGGTGATCCCTTGTTATCCGAGTAAGATTGTCCTCCAAGTGCAGTGTCCTGGTGGTGGGTCCGTAGGTGACTGTGGAGCCCTATTCTTGACCCGCATGTTCTCCCGCAGGGAGGGCATTGGTTTCTGGGTGGAAGGCGGTACCGGTTGGGGTTGGCTTGATGTGCCTTCCTCTTGGCACGTTTTTCTATTTCGCCCTCCATTCGTATCTCTACAAATTCTACAGCACTGCTCGTAACAGCTGATCTCCATCTGGAGCACTCAAGGGCCAGGGCTTCCCAGTTCTCAGTGTCTATGCCACAGTTTTTAAGGCAGGCTTTGGGCCCATCTTCAAATCTCTTCTTATCCACCAACATTCTGTTTCCCATTCTTGATTTCGGAGTAGAGTAACTGCTTTGGCAGACAGTGATCGGGCATTCAGACAACATGGCCGGTCCAGCAGAGTTGTTGATGGCGGAGGACTATCGCTTCAATGCTGGTGGTCTTTGCTTCTTCCAGCACACTGACATTTGTCCGCCTGTCTTCTTAAGAGATTTGCAGGATTTTTCGGAAGCAACGCTGATGGAATCGTTCCAGGAGTTACATGTGACGTCTGTAGATAGTCCACATTTTGCAGGCATAGAGCAGGGTTGGCAGGACAATAGCTTTATAAACAAGCACCTTGGTCTCCCTACAGATGTCCTGGTCCTCAAACACTCTCTGCTTCATTCAGAAAAATGCTGCACTTGCATAGCTCAGGCGGTGTTGTATTTCAGTATCAATGTTTACTTTTGTGGAGAGATGGCTCCCAAGGTATCGGAAATTGTCAACATTTTCTAATGTTACACTGTTAATCTGCATTTCTGGCATTGCAGAGGGATTGGCTGGTGACTGCTGGAAGAGCACTTTGGTTTTCCCGATGTTCAATGACAGGCCGAGCTTCTCGTATGCTTCTGCGAAGGTGTTTAGAGTGGCTTGTAGGTCTTCTTCTGAATGCGCACAGACGACGTTGTCATCAGCATACTGGAGTTCTATAACAGATGTTGTTGTAACCTTGGTTTTGGCTTTCACAGACATAACAACAACATAACAACCAGGCCCGTAGCCAGGATTTCGATTCGGGGGGGGGGGGGGGGGGGGCTAGAGTGGGGGGGGGGGGGGCGAGTCTGAGTGAAATAGGGTCTAGCCTAGCAAACCTTTTGTATCATTACCCCAATACCCCCATGCATATGGGATATATTGAGTATGGTGATCAGATCATGATATGAATAAACATAACAGTTTAAATAATGCTCCAGTAAGGCCTTCTCGTGGACCACCATGAGAATTTGGGGGGGGGGGCTGAAGCCCCCCAAGCCCCCTCCCCTCCCCTGGCTACATGCCTGATAACAACCATTTGTCTAGCTTGCTGTCAAACAATAACAACAACATTATTTTTGTACCCTGCCTCCATCTCCTTGAAGGGACTTGGGGTGGCTTGCATGAGGACCAAACATGTGAAGATCCTCATATTCTGCTCAAAACTGTTATGTTCCCGTACCTGGAAATCTTGTGTTTTTTGCCTTTTGTAGCGATTGCTTCTGCGTTAACAGGGAACTGCACCTGGCCACTCTCCTGTTTGCTGTGGAAGCTCCTAGGATAAAAGTACTGTCTGGACCCGCCCTTAGTCTTCTTCTGATATCTTGACTTCAGCCCCCATTCTGATTAATGACCGAGCCAAAGCCAGACTACATACTCACTCAGTCAGAAATACAAAGATTCCCCATTTTCTTTAACTGAAACTAAACCGTGCCTTGTAGACATGTCGAGAAAACAAGAAATGAGCGAAACAGAGAATCTATTATAAACAAATAGAAATAAATAAAAACTCCGTCAGCCCAAGCCCACCTTTCTTTGCTGCCCTGAAAGAAATCAAGAGAGAGAAAAAAACCCATCATATTTAGGAGGGCCTATCTGATACCAAAGCATGATGAGGGATTGTCTCCCTTTCAGGGAGAAATCTTAAGAGTTGCGGTTTCTTCTTTCATTAGCATTTTAATAGAAAAACTTTCCACTTGGTCCCAAGTGAAAAGCCCCTATCTGCATTTAAATGAAGGGTTTTCTCTCGGCCCCCTCTGGTTCCTCTCCCTCTCCCCTTCCACTTTTAAGAATGATTGTATTAAAGGTTTAAACTCTCCAATGAATGAGCAGGTACAATAGGTGGGATGCCTTGCCGAAGGCTGGTGATTATTCATGTCGTTTCCTCAAAGTACACAAGCACGTTTGGACTCATTTGCTCATCCCGACAGCATCCAAGTAGTTTCCACATCCTGGGTTCACAGATAACCCCATTCCTGCTCTTTGTACTGATGGGACAAGGGAACACTCAGCGGGAATGGAAATCTTGTGTTGTCAAAGGCTTTCGTGGCAGGAATCACTGGATTTGCTGCGAGTTTTCTGGGCTGCATGGCTATGTTTCAGAAGCATTCTCTCCTGACGTTTCACCCACATCTATGGCAGGCATCCTCAGGGGTTGTGAGCTTTGTTGGAAACTAGACAAGTGAGGTTTATATATCTGTGGAATGATGTCCAGGGTGGGAGAAAGAACTCTTGTCTGTTGGAGGTAGATGTGAATGTTTCAGTTGAACACCTTGATTAACATTAATGGTCTAGCGGTTTTCGAGGTCTGGCTTGTTACTGCCTAGGGGAATCCTTTGTTGAGAGGTGATTAGCTGTCCCTGTTTGTTTCTTGTCTGAACTTCCCATTTGAATGTTGTTCTTTATTTGCTGTCTTGATTTTAGAGTTTCTTAATACTGGTAAGACCTGGAATATTGTGTCCAATTCTGGGCACCACAATTCAAGAGAGATATTGACAAACTGGAATGTGTCCAGAGGAGGGTGACTAAAATGATCAAGGGTCTGGAGAACAAGCCCTATGAGGAGTGGCTTAAAGAGCTGGGCATGTTTAGCCTGCAGATGAGAAGGCTGAGAGGAGACATGATAGCCATGTATAAATATATGAGAGGAAGTCATAGAGAGGAGGGAGCAAGCTTGTTTTCTGCTGCCCTGGAGACTAGGAAGAGGAGAAATGACTTCAAACTACAAGAAAGTAGATTCCATCTGAACATGAGGAAGAACTTCCTGACTGTGAGAGCCGTTCAGCAGTGGAACTCTCTGCCCTGGAGTGTGGTGGAGGCTCCTTCTTTGGAAGCTTTTAAACAGAGGCTGGATGGCCATCTGTCAGGGGTGATTTGAATGCAATATTCCTGCTTCTTGGCAGGGGGTTGGACTGGATGGCCCATGAGGTCTCTTCCAACTCTTTGATTCTATGATTCTATGGTAGACAGATTTTGTTAACAAAGAGTGCTGCCGCCTTGCCAAACTACAACTCTGTTGTTGTTTATTCGTTCAGTCACTTCCAACTCTTTGTGACCTCCTGGACCAGCCCAGGCCAGAGCTCCCTGTCGGCTGTGACCACCACCACYTCCTTCAAGGTCAATCCAGTCACTTCAAGGATACCATCCATMCATCTTGCCCTTGTTCGGCCCCTCTTCCTTTTTCCTTCCATTTTCCCAAGTATCATTGTCTTCTCTAAGCTTTCCTGTCTTCTCATGATGTGGCCAAAGTACTTCATCTTTGCCTCTAATATCCTTCCCTCCAGTGAATAGTCAGGCATTATTTCCTGAGGTATGAACTGGTTGGATCTTCTTGCAGTCCAAGAATTTTCCTCCARCACCACAGTTCAAAAGCGTCTATCTTCCTTYGCTCAGCCTTCCTTATGGTCCAGCTCTCACATCCATAGGTTACTACAAGGAATACCATTGCTTTGACTATGCGGATCTTCGTTGCCTGTGTAATGTCTCAACTAAAACTCTAGTACACTCCACAACCAACAACTTACTTTGAAAGCAGTTGTTCTATTTCAGAAATTTCGCTTTTGTAGCTGCCACAAGCTCTATTGAATTGACTGAGATAGACAAAATGTGCTGCAAGATGTCCCACAAAAGTTTTTTGCAATTTAATAAACTTTTTCCACGTCATTTTTAAAATGATGGTCCTAATTAAGAAATGACATTTATAACCTAGGAACAAAATTGTGATATATAGTGCTACTGGCTGATACCTCTGCAACTCAGAAATAAATTATGTCTATTTTCCTTCCCTTCCATTCTTTTTCTTCTTGTTGTGTCATGTCCTTTTTACATTCGAAACTTAGTGGTTTTGGTAAACTGTTCTAGGAGCCTCTTTTGGTTGAGGAGCAGGTTAACGTAGTTTTGAAATGCCTGTAATGATTTTTTTGTTGTTGTTCATTCGTTCAGTCGTCTCCGACTCTTCGTGACCTCATGGACCAGCCCACGCCAGAGCTCCCTGTCGGCTGCCACCACCCCCAGCTCCTTCAAGGTCAGTCCAGTCACTTCAAGGATGCCATCCATCCATCTTGCTGATTTTTTACACCCCCATAATATTTGTCCCCATTTCCAGTCTCAGAAGAGAGCTTGAAATTGCTAGAGGAGCTATGGAAATAACAAAAGTGATAATCGTTGTCATCACATTTGCAAGCTTGGGTGATAAGTTGCAACAGCATAATAATGATTCACAGCTGTCTTCACAACTTTGAAAAAGCTCATTGAAGTTGGGGAGGTGGCTAGGAAGGTATATTCATCCTTATAATGATTTGCACATTGAAATAAAAAGGATTAATAATAATATTTCAATCTATCATTGTCTTCTAGTGCAAGTGAAAACAAGGGAGCGGTTTAAAATTTCCAACAATTTACTGTTAAAACTTAAAATGAAACAATAAAAATAATAATGTAAGAATAATTCCCCAATTTAAACAGGGTTAAGCAAGGCATGGGCAAACTTGGGTGCTCCAGGTGTTTTGGACTTCAACTCACATAAAATCATAGAATCAAAGAGTTGGAAGAGACCTCATGGGCCATCCAGTCCAACCCCATTCTGCCAAGAAGCAGGAAAACTGCATTCAAAGCACCCCTGACAGATGGCCATCCAGCCTCTGTTTAAAAGCTTCCAAAGAAGGAGCCTCCACCACACTCCGGGGCAGAGAGTTCCACTGCTGAACGGCTCTCACAGTCAGGAAGTTCTTCCTCATGTTCAGATGGAATCTCCTATCTTGTAGTTTGAAGCCATTGTTCCCTTGTCCTAGTCTCCAAGGAAGCAGAAAACAAGCTTGCTCCCTCCTCCCTGTGGCTTCCTCTCACATATTTATACATGGCTATCATATCTCCTCTCAGCCTTCTCTTCTTCAGGCTAAAAATGCCCAGCTCCTTAAGCCGCTCCTCATAGGGCTTGTTCTCCAGACCCTTGATCATTTTAGTCGCCCTCCTCTGGACACATTCCAGCTTGTCAATATCTCTCTTGAATTGTGGTGCCCAGAATTGCACACAATATTCCAGTGTGGTCTAACCAAAGCAGAATAGAGGGGTAGCATGACTTCCCTAGATCTAGACACTATGCTCCTATTGATGCAGGCCAAAATCCCATTGGCTTTTTTTGCCGCCACATCACATTGTTGGATCATGTTTAACTTGTTGTCCACGAGGACTCCAAGATCTTTTTCACACGTACTGCTCTCGAGCCAGGTAGGCTGTTAGGAATGATGGGAGTTGAAGTCCAAAACACCTGGAGGGCCCAAGTTTATCCATGTCTGTATTAATCTGTATTTAAAAAGTGACTTTAAAAAGCATAAAACCATGCATATTTTGGAATAAATGAAACTTGGTACTGGAATAAATAAACTTGGTACTGGAATAAATAAAACTTGGTACTGGAGTGACAGCAACACTGAGATCAGCCAGACTTCTAAAAGGAGAGCATTTCATAACTGAGGAGCCACAAAAGGGTAAGCTCTATCCCATGACCTCCTGGAGAAGATTGCCCCCAGGATATTGATGGGATGCAAAGAAGGACCCTCTCAAGTAGACATAGACAGGGAGAAGTTCTTCCTCAGGTATTGATATCTCAAGACCTTCAAGACTTTGAATGTCCTCATGGGCACCTTGAATTCTGAGAGGAGGAGAACTGCAAGCAAAGTTCACAGACGTACCGTAAAGTAGTAGAACTGAGAAGATCTGGCCATAAATTCCGGCTTACACGTGGCCACACAAATCTCCACATATCCAGCATGTTGGCTAAGTTTGGCCTCGGTCATCTCACACACAATTCTGGAAGGAAATAAAGATATAACAAGAATCACAATCCTAAACGACTTCCATTAGAAAAGGCAGTAGCTTTTGTACTGTTTTTTTGTTGTTGTTGTTGTTTATTCATTCAGTCACTTCCGACTCTTCGTGACCTCATGGACCAGCCCACACCAGAGCTCCCTGTCAGCCGTCACCACCCCCAGCTCCTTCAGAGTCAAGCCAGTCCCTTCAAGGATCCCATCCATCCATCTTGCCCTTGGTCGGCCCCTCTTCCCTTTTCCTTCCATTTTCCTCAGCATCATTATCTTCTCTAAGCTTTCCTTTCTTCTCATTATGTGGCCAAAATACTTCAACTTTGCCTCTACTATCCTTCTGGGCCAGAGATTACAAATTACAAATCCCAGGATTCCATAGCATTGATCTATGACAGTTCATGTGTCATCCATTCATTCTACAGCAGTGGTTCCCAATCTTTGGTCCCCCAGATGTTCTGGACTTCAGCTCCCACAATTTCTAACAGCTGGTAAGCTGTTGACATTTCTGGGAGTTTAATTCCAAAACACCTTGAGGACCAAAGGTTGGGAAGCATTGTTCTAAAGCAGTGGTTCTCAACCTTAGGTCCCCAGATGTTTTTGGCCTAGAACTCCCAGAAATCCCAGCCAGTTTACCAGCTGTTAGGATTTCTGGGATTTGTAGGCCAAAAACATCTGGGGACGCAAGGTTGAGAACCACTGTTCTACAGTGTAGATCAGACATGAGCAAACTTTGGACCTTCAGGTTTTTTGGACTTCAACTTCCCCAATTCCTAACATCCTACTGGCTGTTAGGAATTGTGAGAGTTGAAGTTCAAAACATCTGGAGGGCCAAAGTTTGCCCAAGCCTTCTGTAGATGCAGCCCAAGCCGATTTAGGGTCCTTGACACTGTTCTTGAGAATCAAATATCTAGGAAGGATGATCGACTGTGAGGTGGTCTGGACACCAGAGCAGAAGCCCTTGTCTAGGGTTGCAGGCCTTACTTACTGCTCTGCTGGGATGTATCCGTCCACTAAGGGCTCGCACTCCACGCCAGCGACTCGGACTCGGAAGGCAATGTCTCTGAACTCCAGGCCAAGGTTTTCTCCCCGGATGGTCACTCGGGTCCCTCCTTCTCTGGGACCCCTATTGGGAGTGATCTATGGGAACAAAGATTGCATTACATTATAATATTAGAAAAGTTGGAATGCAACAACACAGAAATAAAATTCTCTTTATTGGGAGGTGTCCTCTTATTTTTGGCACCCAAAGGAAAACCGTTGTGACTAAAAACATTGTGGACCATATAGACTTCAGCCAACATCATCTCTGTATGTGTTGTCAAAGGCTTTCATGGCCAGAATCACTGGGTTGTTTTGAGTTTTCAGGGCTGTAGGACCATGTTCCAGAAGCATTTTCTCCTGACGTTTCACCCACATCTATGACAGGCATTCTCAAAGGTTGTGAGGTCTGTTAGAAACTAGGCAAGTAAGGGTTTTATATCTGTGGAATGACCAGAGTGGATGAAAGAGCTCTTGTCTGTTGAAGGCGGGTGTGAATATTGCAATTGGCAATCTTGATTATTTATTTATTTACAACATTTATATGCCTCCCTTCTCACCACGAAGGGGACTCAGAGCAGCTTACAAAATATATATACATACAATATATTATATTATTAGCATAGTAAAATATTATTATTAAATATTACTATATTGTACTATATCATTATATTGTAATATTATTAGTAATATTACATGTAATATAAATATATAATCATAATATCATATTATTATTAGTAGTAGTAGTATTATATTGCATTACATTATAATAAATATTATATGTATATACAATATATTATATTATATTATGTTGTTGTTGTTCATTCGTTCAGTTGTTTCCAACTCTTCGTGACCTCATGGACCAGCCCACGCCAGAGCTCCCTGTTGGCTGTCACCACCCCAGCTCCTTCAGAGTCAAGCCAGTCACTTCAAGGATCCCATCTATCTTGGTCGACCCCTCTTCCTGGGGGGAGGGGTCCCCAACTGATTAGCACTGAATGGCCTTGCAGTTTCAAAGCCTGGCTGCTTCCTGCCTGAGGGAATCCTTTGTTGGGAGGTGTTAGCTGGCCCTGATTATTTCCTGTCAGGAATTCCTCTGTTTTTTAGTTTGTTTTTGAGTTGTAGTTCAACAACACCAAAAAGGAAGAGAAGGACAGGTGGAGGGATCTTCAGCATTCTCTGCCCAAAGCGACCCTCCCAGGGGTCCCAACCCCTAAGTTGAGGAACACACTAAAAGAAGTGCTTTCACTGCTAAAGGAGTTGTATGTTGTGTGACTACAGGATGAGTAAGGGACTTTTTCTGTTCATGTAGAAACTCCCTTAGAGATACAGGAAAACGCTACTTATTTACAGAATATATACATAAATATAGGAGCCAGTAATTAATTCTAAGCTTTGGCAGAGAATGGCGTGTGGCTGAGGCTGGCTGAATTCCCTCCCCACCTTCGCTTTGTGGGTATTTCCCCAAATCCGAACCAGCCGTGAAAAATACCTCTCTCCAGCGGCCCCAGATACATCATGAGCCGTAATATATTATACATCTATATATCCAGCCAATGTGAGATTATGGCTGCCCTAACAGCTTAGGAAACATACATTCATAAGCTTTCCAAAAGGAACATATGATTTGTGGGATCTACGGCTAGACAGGGAAGGGCTTTTCCAGTGGGGAAGGATGGAGAATTTCTTCAGGTGACCTTAAATTTATTGCAGAATTTGCAGGAAGTTGTGAACTTGGGTTATTCCAAGATGATTTAATTACATCTGGAAGGCTGCACTATGCTAACTTCTGCTACAGATTTACAAAGCTATTCCCTATGAGAGTAGACCCATAGAATCAATGAAATCTTTGTGTTGACTTCCACGAACAATTGATTTAATCAGTCTACTTTGGCTGGGACTACTAACAGTGTTCAGGTCACAGTAGTCCAATATTTTCCAAGTCTGCCTGATGTGTTGTACTTCAGCTCCCAGAATCCTTGCTCCTTGGCCAAGGCAGATGGGACTTCTGTGTGTTGAAGCCAAAACAATTTTCCTGCTTCTTGGCAGGCGGTTGGACTGAATGGCCCACGTGGTGTCTTCTAACTCAGTGATTCTATGACTATCTGGATGGGTTCTTAAACCTAAACCTGTTGATAAACTCTACAAGCTGATGTTCAATGGGAATTTTGCTGCTAACTGTGAGAGAAATAAGGTTGAACACTGTGAAAGCCACCCATTGCATGGCTATCAGCCTCCTCCCAGTAGACTCAAATCAAGGGAAAGCTTCATGAGAACCACCACTCCTCTTAACATCTCCCCAGAAATATTAAGAGTATCCCTTTGGGCAGCTAAACCAGGAAGTCCCAATTGGATGCCCCCCCCCCATGAGGGTCTTCCACCAGGGGCAAACCAAGAATGGGCAACTTAGAAGTCCCTGAACAGACTCAGAAGTGGAGTGGGCAGATCAAAAGACAACCTGACAAAATGGCACTACCTATGTTGCACTCCAGGGCAGAAAAAGCCCTCTGACGTTAAACACCACACGTTGAATAGGAAAACAATCCTTTTATTGAAGATAAGTAAAAACCACTTTAAAGAAATAAGTAAATCCAATTACGTAAGAAGATAAGCAGAAACAAAATAGTCCAGGGTAATGTTCAGCAAAGTCCATGAAAACAAAGTCCACACTTCTCTAATATAATCCAGAAAACCAGGAAACATTAATCCAAGGCATGAGTATGTAGTCATAAAATCCAAGATTCAAAACCATGAAACAAGAAATACTTAACTATGAATGTTCCAAATTAGGCTTCCATGAGAAAAGGACTAGAACTTAACTTGATTCCAAACAAAGCTTCATCTGGCTACATTTCCCATACTTGGAACTGTTATACCCTCATTAAGCTATCCCAAGCACTCCGAAATTGGTTTTGCTTTAATTGAGACTCCATTATCTTTTTCTGTTGGAGCCTGGCAGAACGCCGAAGCCACTGTTCGGCTTGTCTGTTTAGACTAATCTCCCGCTGTCATTTTTTGCTCATTAACTTCCACAGATGCTGAGTTGTTTTCAAGCCCCAAATCCTGGGAACTCTCTGGTAGCAATTCAGGGAGTACACCATCATCCCCATGCCCCTCAGGGACATTCTCATGGGAAACTACACTTTGAACAGGGATCTCCTGTTCATTCCCTGCATCAATATCATTGACCAAACCACTGCCATCTTGAAACTCATTGACATCACTCCCCACATCCAAAGCACCCTGATCCTGAAACACAATTACAGGCTGAGCTCCAACAACCTAAAAGAATTCCCCACTTTGTGTGACCGTGGAGCAGAACAGACAACTCCGCATCTCTGTGCTTGTCCACTATGCCCTGCTTCGTGTTCAGAGGGAGAATTGTTGGAGATGTTGAACAGGACTGGGCTTAGGGAAGAACCCTTTGGCATTTCACTCATCACTTTTTTCCAGTATGAAGAAGAGGAAGCATTGGGGAGAATCACCCTCTGGGTTCGTTCACTTAACCAATTATAGGAAGATGTGTTTTGTCAAAAAAGTCTCCTTTCTTGACATTTGAAGCCATTGGTTTGGTCCCCATCTTCTAGAACTGTCAAAAACGGGTTTGTTCTAGCTTCTGCATGGTAGCACTTCAGATATTACAAGACGACTGTATCATATCTGGACAGTATACTTTTATTAGTGCACCCTAGCAATGTGTTGGCTGTATTGATTGAAGTATACTGCTCCTTTTGCTTTTTTCCTCCCGCTCCTGCTCTTCTTTCTACTCAAAAATCGCTGCTCTTCTCAATGTCTGAAACTCCAGCAGAATATCTTTCACCAAAGAGTAAGTACACCATGGTAGGGTACTTCAATCATATACTGTTCCAGGGTGATAAGTTGTCAGGAAAAGCTGTTCACGGACATTTTTAACTACAAACAAACACAACACAGCTTAGGATCTGCTCTTTTCCCTTCGACTTTTGAGCAGTTCTTTCAAGAATCTCGCTCCAGACAATCCCAGTTTCAAAGCAATCTTCTTAAAACTCGAAAATGTTGGCCCTTGTCCCTGGTGAGAACTTCAAGGCAACACATGATCCGGTTTCACACAAAGCAGCGCTTTGACCACTTGTTCCTTGGCAGAGCTCAGGAAAGGCAGCTCTTGTCAAAGCTCGGTTTCTTGAGTTCAGTATCAGAGACACAGGTTTCAGTCCAACTGCCAGTCACTCCGTAACGTCTGCCACCACTTTTGTAAATCCCATTGCTCTGAAAGGGCTAATTTAGTTGGGATCAGGAATTAGATTCAGGTCATGGATAAATATTGCATCTTTAAAGTAACCATGCAATCCCAATGAGTTCAAACCAAGGCCATTGCTTTTGGGAAGCAGAGCAACGGAAGAAAGAAGACAAGAAGTTATTATTGCACCAGAGTTTTATCGCGCCAGAGGAGATATGCCAGAGTTAGACCACACCTGGAATACTGTGTCCAATTCTGGGCACCACAATTGAAGAGAGATATTGACAAGCTGGAATGTGTCCAGAGGAGGGCGACTAAAATGATCAAGGGTCTGGAGAACAAGCCCTATGAAGAGTGGCTTAAAGAGCTGGGCATGTTTAGCCTGAAGAAGAGAAGGCTGAGAGGAGACATGATAGCTGAGAGGAAGTCATAGGGAGGAGGGAGCAAGCTTGTTTTCTGCTGCCCTGGAGACTAGGACATGGAACAATGGCTTCAAACTACAAGAAAGGAGATTCCATCTGAACATTAGGAAGAATGTCCTGACTGTGAGAGCTGTTCAGCAGTGGAACTCTCTGCCCTGTAGTGTGGTAGTGGCTCCTTCTTTGGAAGCTTTTAAACAGAGGCTGGATGGCCATCTGTCAGGTGGTTTGAATGCAATTTTCCTGCTTCTTCACAGGGGGTTGGACTGGATGGCCCATGAGGTCTCTTCCAACTCTATGATTCTATGAGATGTGCATGTGCATAAACCCCAGATATATGTGGTTGCATGGATTACTATAGAGAAAGAATCCTACTTTACCTACTCACACTACACTGGCCTTCCTTCTGAACTAGAATGGCACTCATGGATTTGTTAACTTCTTCTCTTCTTCTCAACTTCCTCCTAATCCTTGAAGGAGGAGAAGACCTCTTCCTGTGTTCCAAGAACATGGGACAGACCTGGCTTCCTGTGTCTTCAGCTAGACTCAACTTTTGCATGGTCTATCCCGTATCATACAACTTACACATGTCTTTGTTGACAAAAAACAGCTTTCTTGTTTCAACAGCAAAGCACATTTCATGTGGTGTGATTATATTCTAGGAAGAGCAATCAACAAGTAATTCAGAAGAGGTCGAGCCCTCCTAAACAGCTGTCAAACCAGACTTAACTAAGAATCTATACCAGGCATGGGCAAATTTCAGCCCTCCAGGTGTTTTGTACTTCAACTCCCACAATTCCTAACAGCTGGTAGGCTGTTAGGAATTGTGGGAGTTGAAGTCCAAAACATCTGGAGGGCTGAAATTTGCCCATGCCTGATTTATACCCTAGATTACTCTGCATCATTAAGGTTACAGTATTTCACAACCAACATGCAACTACAACACAGAAAGCTGAAACTTGGAGTGCAGACACATGCAGGGACATGTGATGCTTCCATAGCAAAGTTGATGTCCTTCAACATTCAGAAAGACCAACAACATTTCTATTGGAAATAATATGAGTAGCAAGAATGAGGAGGACGTCTACTTGCCAGATCACTGATCTGACACAACATGAAGTGGCTCCAGACATTTGGGTTGGTTCATTTTCCTAAAACAAGGCTAGGGGTATGATAGAAGGAGACTGAAGGGCTTACGTCTGTGATCCTGGGGTTGGTGCACTTGCCCCCAGTTGCTGAGAGCTCCAGCCACCGGTTCTCTATGAGGAGGCAATGCTGCTTCAGCGTACACTGATTCATGTCTTCACACCATCCACATTCATAATCTGGATCTGCTTTCAGGCACAGGCCACAACTGTCTCGCATAGCTCCACATTTATACAAGTGGACTGTTGACAAAAACAAGACAAGTACCCCAGTTATTTTAACAGCTACATTAATGAAATAAGCAAAGTTTGGTATGGTAAAGGCAACAGGGCACGAGGTGAATCAAATTCTGAGGTAGAGGGGATAAGAACAACGGTAGGCAAATCTTCACACACTGGTTTTGCTGCATTTCATCTACTCAACTGGAAATTTGTTTCAGCTACTGACATACACATTACTCACATCAACAAAAGGTCAACATTAACATTTATATACATTTTGACCCATGTTTCCTGCAATACCCAGTTTTGAACACATTTTCCAGTGTGTGAATTATTCATCAGTGATCATCCATCTTACAATGATTGGGGAGAGGTGAGCTAGCCATGAGCAAACTGTCTATTTCATGAGTGCCTGGCTTTAAAACATTCCCATTATGGAAATGTGAATAGGAGAAATCATTGTGCTACTCTTAGATTGGGTTGGACTTAAGCCACTACGGCAATCATACTATGGAGGCTTCTCCAAGGAAGCTCTTTTGCATGAATGTTGGAACACCATGATTTAAGAAACATCAACATGAGGTAACACCTCTCCGGGAATCTCTAGGTTTAGTACTATGATTCTATGTCAACTTCTGAGAAAACACTTGCAACGAAGAACCTAAAGATTCCTAGAAAGATGTTCTCTCTAAGCATCTTAGGAGCATCCAGCACAAATCTATGGTCAATATCCAAACAAAAGTTGGCAAGAGTCATATTGGAGCATCTAAAAATTACTAGGGATAACTTTTTAATCCCTGGATAATCAAATACACAAAAGTTAACCTGCCAATGTGAAGGGCCAAGTCTAGTACAGTGTTCCCTCACTTATCATGGGGTTCCATTCCAGGACCACCTGTGATAAGTGAAAATATGCAAAGTAGGGATGCCATATTATTTTTCATATTTATACATTATTTTATATATTTTATATATTATTTTCTTACCCATGCTTCCTTACCTGCCTCCCTGCCCATCCCAAAGGCACCTGCCTGCCTTCCTTTTATTGCTGCTGTGGTTTAGGTAATTATAATGTTTTAATTGTGTTGTGATACTATGTATACTCTTTTGTTGGAAACCACCTTGAGTCGCCGATATGGCTGAGAAAGGCGGTATACAAATACAGTAAATAAATAATAAATAAATAAATTCCTGGCCACCACAGAGCCTCCAAAGCCATGAAGGCAGCAGAAGGCCAAGGAGGCAGGCCTTCCCCACTGCACCTCAGGCCGTCGCACTTCTGGGGTCCATGGCCTCCCTGGCCTCCACTGGACATAAATATGTAATATTTAATATTTGTATTAATATTTTCAAAAACCCGCGAAACAGCAAGTCCGCTAAAAGCAAACCACGGAGTAGTGGGCTGAGTCCCCCTAGGGGTTGAGAAGGACGGGGTAAAAATGTTCGAAATAAATAATAAATATGTCAGGTTTTACAATGTATTGTAATGTAATATAGCTGAGTCATGCACTGCTAATGGGCTTCTATTGGAAATGCTGAGTCATGCATTAACTGTATATAGAACTTCATTTGGGGAATGTGTTCTGGCCTAGTCCAGGTGATTGTGAATGATGTAATCCTGGGTCTGAGTTAAGTTAATGAGTTGGGAACCAATCAGAGATTGCTATGTGTAAATGAATTGTATATAAGGAAGTCATGTACAGTGTATATTTCTCCTTGTGCTGTGATGTTGTTCGTCGAAGGCTATATGTAATTAAAAGAACCTGTCTGCTAAGACAAGATATAACTGTATGCTGTGGTAAGTTTGTAATATCATCTAGACTGGGGAAAGACAATGGTAAAACTGACAATGGCCGGGCATGTGCTCAAGTGTCTGTAAAAGGTTCCAGAGTGACTGCAGGCTGTGGGAGCAGTTGACTGAAAATACTGTGCAGGAAGAAGCTACTGGAAAGCGCTGAAGTTGTGCAACTGATCTGCTGCTGAATTGAGAAGTTAATCTCAACAAAATAATAGTGAGGGAACACTGTATTTTGTGCACAGAAAACAGCATACTGAGATTGGTACCGCATTTTCCGGCATATAAGATGACTGAGCGTATAAGACGACCCCCAACTTTTCCAGTTAAAATATAGAGTTTGGTATATACTCGCCGTATAAGACTACCCTTCTTCCAACACACACAAAATAATTTTTTTAAAAGCATCAGATTTGACTTCAAGATGGTAATTTTCCTATTACTGTCCCTCCTTCTCTGCCTCTCAGATCTCGCACATGCGCACCTGCACCGCTTCACTGCAGTTTTCAGGAGCAAGATCTGAGGGGCAAAGGTGGATGTACAGTAATAGGATACAAGGGCGGGCCAGACAGGTGAAAGAGGTGTGTTTTTCTGGGCCCAGAGCCACTCTATCTTTTCCATACTCCGGGTGCCCCAGATGCCTGTAGCTTGCTCCGCCCTTCACTTACACCTTCCTGGTGAGACGCCCCTTCACCTCACCATTGGGACCACATTAAGACTACTAATCCTGATGAACTGATTTTCTTCTACCGTACTTGTACAGTGTCGCTGTTAATGCTTTCATACAGTCACTGCATACAGCAGAGACATGGCCACTGCCATTTTTTAGCTGCCCCCACCATATGCAGCAACCATAGATTCTCCAATCTGGATTGGAAGTTTCAGCACCCGCTCTATAAGACAACTCATGGCGTATAAGATGACTCCCAGCGTATAATACAACCACTGACTTTTGAGAAGATTTTCTTGGTTAAAAAGTAGTCTTATACACCAGAAAATACGGTAGTTCTGCAGAGATCATGCTGCTTCCTCTGCAGAAAGTCCTGTTTTCTATGCAAACATGTGCATCGAATAAGTCCCAAACTGTGAAGATTCTTTCCAGTTCAGATTTCTTCCCATCAGGATGTTGTTGACATAGGAAACACAGCTGTTAAAGTATTTTCAAATATTTCTTTCCTAACCATTAGCTACAAAGCTGGATTGCTTAATGACATCCAGGAAAACGAGCCCTCTTGTCAAGAGGAATGGAAGAATGGGAAAGCAAACCAAAAGTACACAACTGGAGGAAGAGAGCAATATCTTTCAAGGATAACAGCATTGGTAATTTACAGAGAACATAAATAAAGCCTGGTGGTCGATGGTGGAGGGAAACAATGACTGCTTTGTTAAGAGTTACGGGAATGATGCTGTGGGTTGCTAAGGTTACCACTTCCAAGGACAGGTAGAAATGATATTCCTTACCTTTGTTCTGTGCTGGGTTGTCAATGTTGAAATTCCCATTCCACACCACTGTCAGCTCCACTGGCAGGCTGTTAATCTCCATCCCCTCATAGGAATACTAAAAGTTGGAAAAACAAAGAACAAGAGAGAGGTGAAGGGAGGAAAGAAAATCACACCTGTGGCTCACACTCCTGAGAATGGGAGACAAGAGTTGTAAGGCTGTACCTATTGAATTTTTAAACAAACACGCCCAAAATAAAGGTTTCTTCCACAAAAGAAAGGCTTCTTCCATGGATTATGCGACAAGTGGAGCAATAGGATGATAAACAATCTCTCTCCCTCCATCTCTATTTCCTTCCCTCTCTCCCCACCCTCTCATTGCTCTTTCCCTCTCTCCTTCAATCTTCTCTCGCCTTCCTCTCTCTCCCTTGTCCTGTGTCTTTCTCTCTTCTTCCTTCTTTTTCTCCCTCTCCCATCCACTGTTGCTCTCCGTCTTTCCTCTCTTTCTCTCTACTCTTTCTCTTTCTATCCTTCTCTCTCCTATAGTCCTCTTTCTTTCTTCCACCCTGCCTCACTCTCTCTCCCTCCTCTTTCCCTCTATCTCTTCCACCCACACTACTCTCTCTCCTCTAGCCTCCCTCCTTGCCCCCTCTCTCCCTAGCATTTCTTTCTTTAGCTCTCTCTTGCAAACACCCAGGTCACATGAATGTTAATTATTGTTGGACAACAATTTGAACATAAGACAACAGTGTGAAGCAACACCTCCAAAAGCCAATGGAATTTTGGGTTGCATCAAAGGAAGTATAGTGTCTAGACCAAGGGAAGTCATGATGCCCCTCTATTCTTCTTTGGTGAGACCTCACCTGGAATAACATTGTGTCCAATTCTGTACATCATTATTTATTTATTTATTTATTTACAATATTTATATTCCACCCTTCTCACCCCACAGGGGACTCAGGGCGGATTACAATGTACATATACATGGCAAGCATTCAATGCTATAGACACACAACATATATAGACAGACACACAGAGGCAATTTAACATTCCAGCTTTTCTTGAGGGTATTCTGGCCACCAGGGGAGCTGTTGCTTCACCGTCCATTTGTGACACTGATGAAGTACTTCCTCATTCTTTGCATGCTTGCTCGAGAATTTTATGGCCTCCTAAATTAGTTAAATTTGCCTCCCCGCATAAGCGGTACCTAAATTTCCTACTGGACAGATGCAAATGTCTTTCGGGCTGCAAAGGTCGACAGCAAGCTACACAAAATTGGTTAGAAGCGCACTCTGACTCGAGCTGGCTTTGAACTCATGACCTTTCGGTCAGTCGTGGTCTTAATGCAGCTGACTCCCAGCCAGCTGTGCCACAGATATTGACCAGCTGGAATGTAATGGATGAATACAGAACCCAGGAAAGAATGAAGTCCACGTGAAGCAACCTCCTCCTTGAATCCCAGCAGATTCCTTGGTGGCTGGTTGCTCGCATGTCTGTAGAGTCATAAACATACTCAGAGTTTCACTCTGACTTTTGAAGTAGATATCTAAAGGGATGAATTTGTTTGGGAACAGGTTTTAGCATGTTGTGTAGCTGCTTTTAAGTTTTGACTAATCCCCAGAGTAAATTGATTGCCCCTTGACTGCTAAGAGCAACTAATTGCTATTGATGGAAGACCAAATGAGAACCACCTCAATGGGTTGCATTCATGACTTAGATCAAAAATTGCGCCAGCTTGTATGTACTATGTGGGGATGTGCCTAGCTTCACAAAAGGAAAACAAGCCAGTTTTGTGCTGAGATGTTTTGCACAAATTGCAGAAGAGTATCCCCACCCACTTCAAATAACTAGGAGCTCATTATCTCACTTTCATGCAGGAAACAAGTCTTCAAGGGGTTCTTGATTCTTGATGGCTGAACCCACGCCATCTCATTGGGAATGGGAAATTTGGGAAATAGTGTCTCATTTTTAGTCCGCTGTTTCTCAAATGCTTAAAAACAAGCCCTGGAGACCACAGCATATGTAACGTGATATAAATAACCATGTTCATGGTGGGGAACAAATTGCAATTAATTAATTAAACAATCGTGATTGCAATTAATTAATACTCTACATTTCTCTCAACCAGAGACTCAAAGCAACTTACAAAAATTCAGAATCAGAATTGTGTTTCCAAGAGTGGTGTGCACTATGTAGCTGGTTTTTGGGAACAGCATGTCTCAGAGAAGCCAGATCTCCAAAACATCAGGCAAAGGGAGAGCTTCATCTCAATAAATTGTTACGAAATTGCAGGGTCAGAAGGAACCTGTGATTTCTACCCATTACATCCGAGTGAACATTTTGAGTTGCACAGCAATTTATCTTTCAGCAAACTAAACACAATTAGTTGGTAATCGGCAGGCTCTCACAAACTCAATGCCCAGGTACTTTTATCAGCATGGTTACCATGGATGTGAAGCACACTTTCCAGACAACAGTGCTCCATGATGCCCAGTTTGCTACCATCATCCACCATTTACAGAAATAGCATTCTGATGAGAGTTCTACATGCAGTTATAAGAGTCTGGATGACGTAAAGCTGTCATTCTGCCCAAAGGTGCTCCAAAGTCATCACTGACAACTATGATGGATCCTCTCAGGATACATTGAACTGGTACATTCTCACTGTACATGCTCAGATGTATGCTAGCATGTGTAGGGCATTCTTGGGTCATTTTTCCAAGAGGAAACATCTTAGAAGTCAACTAAGAAAGTCAACGAGATATGATCTGGAAAACCAAAAACATAGTGGTATCCTTTCATGTTCTAAAGGACATTTGGAGTCATATTGGATCTACATCCTTTGTTGGGGGTGAGGGGAACCAAAATCAATTCTTGGGGAAATCATGTGAACTATATTTCACCAATTCTTGATCTACATGTTTGGTGGAACATCTCAATATTCATAAAATAGGTCCAATGAGGAGTATTCAGTGTTGTCACATTTGTGCAAAGATATAGTCTTCTATCATGGGACAAGTCACACTTCCTTTGTGGGTTGTCACTTTTAGATGGAAAACACATCATCATCATCATCATCATCATCATCATCATCACTTTATTTCTTAATTAGTCGCTCTCCACCAAAGTGCTCCGAGCAACTTACAATTTAAAATAGCTTATACACAATATAAAACATTCAATATAAAAACATTCAACATAAAAACATTCAGCAGTGACTATGGCAAAATTTGATCCGATTACTTAAATGCACAACCAAACAGCCAAGTCCTGAGCGCCTTTACAAAAGGTCACAACTCTGACATTGCTCTAATATATGAAGGCAATGAGTTCCACAGAATTGGAGCATAGGTGGAAAAAGCTCTACGCCTTGTAGCTTCCAAATGTGCCTCCCTAGGACCCGGTATGTAGAGGAGATTTTCCTGGGTGGATCGAGGTGACCACTGATGGGGAAAAGGAATGAGGCGGTCCCTAAGATATAAAGGTCTTGGCCATTTTGAGCTCTAAATGTCAGGATCAGTATCTTGTAAGAGATCCGATGTTCTATTGGTAGCCAATGCAGTTGTTGCAGAATCGGTGTAATATGGGATCTTATAGATGATCCCGCTAGCAGCCTAGCTGCCGCATTTTGGACCATGCATAGGGACCACCAAACGCAGCAGCACTGCCCAAACATGAATCAAGGATCATGAAAGGCACTGCAGACTAACTCAACCAGAGAAATCAGCCATAGCAGAGCACCTGATGAACCAGCCTGGACACAGCAGATTATTTGAGAACACAGAAATGCTGGACCACTCGAACAACCACCATGTCAGACTACACAGAGAAGCCATTGAAATCCACAAGCATGTGGACAATTTCAACAGAAAGGAGGAAACCATGAAAATGAACAAAATCTGGCTACCAGTATTAAAAAAACTCTAAAATTACAACAGCACAACAACAGAGAGGAAACAAACAAGGACATCTAATCACCTCTCAACAAAAATTTGCTCCAGGCACTGTCAGGCCATTATATGCTAATCAAGGTGGTCAGTTGAAACGTTCACACCTAGCTCCAGCAGACAAGAGTCCTTTGTCCCACCCTGGTCATTCCACAGATATATAAACCCTTTTTCCTAGTTCCAACAGACCTCACTACCTCTGAGGATGCTTGCCATAGATGCAGGCGAAACGTCAGGAGAGACTGCCTCTAGACCATGGCCATATAGCCCGAAAAAACCTACAACAACTAAGTAAGTAAAGTACTATAGTATTGAAAGTCTAAGGCTTCCTCTCTTAACACTGTCATAAGAGGTCTGTATATTATTGTGCAAGGCTTTTTCCTATGACTATTGGAGGTTTCTTTCTCTCTCTCTCTCTTTTCTGTAGGCTTAGAAATGTTTCATTATAATTTCTCGCACCTCCAAGAAGCCTCAATCCCAAAGGGAAATGGCCAAGTGACTTTTATGGGGAAAGAAATATAGTGACACATAGATACTGAGATGCATCATCAAGGTCCATGTCCCCTTTTTGGCATTTGCTTTAATAAAAGCATGGGGTAGCTTGTTCCAAGGAGCCTACAATCAAAATGTCAACATGAGAGAGTAACAGGGAAGAAAAAATGAGATGGATTTCAAATATATTCCGTGGCCAAAAGGTGTTAAGGCTTATAAAGCTCTGTGAAAGCGAGAGAACATGGAGCCCGCGGCTTCTTGTACCATCCATTCTCTTCCTCTCCCTCCTCCCTCCTTGTTCCAGGACTGAAAGAAAGGTAGCAGCTGGGGAGGGAAAAATATGTTACAAGACCAAGTGATGAGTAATTAACCCGAGGCAAAAAAGTATGATGTGGGGAGGGAGGAAAGGGACTAGTCTTTAACTGAGTCCATATGTCTCCCGACTTGATTTAACATCAGTTCCCCTTGACTGCACCGTGCCCTCCCGTATAAACCCAAGCTGAGCTTAAGGCTATGAATCCTTCACGAACTCTATAGGGATTTTATTACGACCAGTATCCTTAATTAAAAGAATAACATCTGTCTAGCAGGCAACAAGCAATTGTACTCCCTGTGCTGAGATGCAGGGGCACGGGCATGGGGCAGGACAGGAATATACCAGACAGAATGTCTTGGGGGT